ACATATGCGGCAGAAACAAGACCTGACACAGAGAGGACAAAAAGGATGTTAGAAACAGCAGAGATGAAAACACTTTGATGGTAAGACACTATGAGACAGAGCTAGAAGTACAGGTATACGACGTAGATGCAAGGTGGAGAACATCAAGAACTGGGTAAGAAATAGAAGAGTGGAACGGAACGATCATATAAGCCGAATGACAACAAATAGAGTAGTAAAGACGGCAAGAGACGGTTCCTCAATAGGAAGACCACGAAAACGATGGAATGACAACTTACTGAAAAAGTCACACTGAAAGAGTCACACTGAAAAACAGACAGAGTCTTATCTATATAAAAAGAAGAAGAAGACATTTAGCACATTACATATGTCTTCATATATTATTAGATCTCTTCCTTTGGAATCCTTAACTCTTATTAAAAATCTCATTTCTACTTGTTCTAATACTATTGTTCTACTCGTACCGCATATTGCATGAAATTTATTTATTTTATTGTTGTTGTTATATTCATACCTTATATCGCATCCCAAGTACTGAAAATGTGATATTTTCGACTGCACGGGATATTGGCTTTTTCCTGCCATAACTTTTGTCTTTGCTGATATTCTACTGATGTCCAGTTTTTTAGGACGTTTCCAATGTGTATTTTAAAAGGTGTGAGCGAAAAGTTGTCACACGCTATGTCACTCATTGGTTGGTTTTAAATTTCTTCCGTACTTTTCTCACCAGTATTTTTTTCTGGTAGGACATTTTTGCTTTTGTAACATGTGGAGGGTGGCCGTTTTTATTTATTATTCCTCAAATCTTATTTTGGTACACTCGTTTAAGATTAATGGAAGCTGTACTGGTTTCGAGGTTCCATTCTCTGCATTTCTTGATAAATTATTTGTTTAGTTATAAATGTACTATTAGTGCTTGGGGTAGAACCTTTAGTCTATTGTTGAATTAGCGTATATTCTGTATGCAGTATTTAGTAAACAAATGCCTCTATAGTTGCGCTTTTGAATAAAGAAATGTATTCCGCTATTTTCCAGGGTCTGGAATTTTAAACGTGGAGGAGTCGTAGGTATCAGAAAGTGCCAACATATTTAATTAATCTTGTATTTATACCATCTATTCCCTGCAGCTTTTCTATTTTTCATATTTTCAAGAGTGGTTGTAACGACTTCTTTGATTACGCTATTGTCGTCTAAATAAGTGACTGGCCAATAAAAGTGATACATATTATTGATCTCATAAGAATCGTAAAAAATGGCAAAAATCGCGCGCTTTTTTGTACCTACAAAAATTCCATACGAAAGCTGCACTTACCTTTACCTTTAAAACGCATTTTGATTTTTTTGATAGGACACTCTTATTAACAGATATCGAATTTTTACCATTGAGTTAATACAAATTTTATTTCAAACTGATTTCGCGCGCGTAACGTGTTATTTAAAATCGTTGGCCGCTTCAAGCGTTGTTTATGAGAGAAATGTTCATTCTACACAAAAAGTGCCAATAAAAGTTTTGTTCAAAGTTGTCTAAGCTTCATTTTTTATTTGAAATATTTTTTACGGCGTACAAATTCTTGGTAAATCGATCCCCCTACGAAAGGGAGTGTAGGAGAACGCGGGGTAGCAGTGATAAACTTCTTTGGATCAGTTGTTTCGTATGATTTTTGGAAGTTCAGTTTCATTTTCGTCGACTGGCAATTGGAGTATCAATCCTGTTCTTGCCTGTTTGATAAAAATCCATGGAGGCCATGCAGTATTTGTAGTATGCCCAAGGCTTCTATGTCACCTAAATTATTAGTATTTTTTTTGAGCTACTGAATCGACAATTTCGTCATCAAATAATATCCTAGCAGTCATAACTCCATCGTCACACGAAACAAAGTTATCAAAGAATATTCCTTATTCAGATACCACCGTATTCCATTCTGTAGGAGCTGAACTAGAAATATCTTCGGTTTCAGTTTCTTGTATCTTCTTCAGCTGTTGTACGAATTTGTGTGTATTCCGGTAGAACAAAACTACTTCTGACAATTTTTCAATCGACAACAAATAACTTACTTCGATAAAGTTCAAATGAAATCAAAAATTTAAAACTAAACCTTGACACCAAGCAAGCAAGCATGTTATTGTTCTGAAGCTATTTGCTTGTGGCATTGTAAATTAATTACTATTAAACTGGGAATAAGCCACAATTAAAGATAAAAATACGTTTATTGACGTTTCAATTTCCACTTCGGAAATCGTTCTCAAAATACAAACAGTAAATTAAACAAATTTTGTTTTTTGTTACATAGTGAAAAATTCTTCTAATAATTTAATTTTATCTGACTCATTTATATTGACAATTCAGACATACATTATGCATTTTAAAGTAGACGACTTTAAAATGATATTGCCAATATTGTTGAGTTGCGCTCCTGGGACGACTTTACTTATAAGATAGTTCATTCGATTACATGAAATCAACGTTAACTTGAGAATATCCGTCAGAAAAAAATCATAGCATGTAATTCGTCTTTAAAAAGACAAACACATGACATAATGACAGTAAAATTCTCCTGTTAGTGATTCCATAGTAAATTATGAGGGAAAAACCAGGAAAAAAACCTCATAATACTATCCCGACATTGTAAGTATTTGTTCGTGAATTTAGTTTACCTTCAACAAACATCAAAATTCTGATTTTATATGTTACGTTATTTAGAAAACATAAATGATGTATCCTCTATATGTTACTGACTTACTAATACTGGTATTTTCTTATTAATAACTTCCTCTTTCAATATTGGTAACCAGATCCTACTACATTCTGCCGAGGAATTTGCGACACAATTGGCCTCATTTAGCATAATTAGAGCCGCTTCTTTAATATTTCTTTTTTTACCATCCGTTTCTTTTAGGACTACATTTGAATTATTCCATTGAACCCTATGTTCATTATCCCATGCGTGTTTACAGATTTGAGATCTATCAAATTCCCTATTTTTAGTATAAGATTGATGTTCACTTATTCTAACATTTAATGGCCTTAATGATTCACCTAAATAAAACTGATCGCATTCACAAGGTATTTTATAAATGCAATTCTTTGTCCTTTCTTGTTCATTGTTAGGTTTGGTTTTGGACAAAATAGATCTCAACGTGTTTGTTGTTTTGAATGTTGTGAAGTGGAAATTGAAACGTCAATAAACGTATTTTTATCTCTAATTGTGGCTTATTCCCAGTTTAAGAGTAATTAATAAAGCAAGCATGTGTCAACGTGAGTTATAGATTCCTTAAGTGGTAATCCTATTTGTTCTATACTCCTAAATTGTTTTCTAAGAAATAGTGGTGTACTTAAATTGTAGGTAAATTCTTAAAATCGGTAACTCATTTGTCTTGGAACTATACTGGTAAACATTCAAATAATTACTTACTCCGTGGCGTTACAACCCTTCGTGGGTTTTAGCCGACTCGACAACATGCCTCCACTGTTTTCTGTCTTTAGCAACCTCCATCCAATTCTCCACGCCCATAGTGCTTAGGTCTCCTGCTACATTGCCACCAGAGACGAGGGCGTCCGCGTGGTCTCCTTCCAGTTGGGACTTCCTCCCAGACCAGTCTTACTGTTCGTTCGTCAGAATGTCTTCTGAGTTGTCCTGCCCATTAGAGTCTTCTGGACTTTATTTCATTTATGATGTTGGCGTCTGGGTAAAGTTCTTCGAGCTCTTTGTTAGTTCTTATCCTATATTGTCCTGATGCTTCATCCAGCTCAGGACCAAAGATCTTCCTTAGGATTTTTCTTTCCCAAAGACATAGTATCTCTTCGTTTGCCTTTGTTATTGTCCACGTTTCGCTTCCATACATCACAACGGGTCGTATGATTATTTTATAGACCTGTATCTTCGTACGTCGTGTTTTGAGTTTATAAGGTTTCGGAGGGTAAAAAGACATCTGTTGCCGGCCTGAATCCTGTTGTTTATTTCTTGTGACCCGTTATTGTCTTCAGTTATTGTTGTTCCAAGATACTTGAATTCTCTAACGCGCTCAAAGTTAAAGTCATCGATGGTGATGTTCTGACCGATTCTGTCTTTGCTTTGGTTATTGCGGCTCATATACATATATTTCGTCTTGTTTTCGTTGATTTGGAGCCCCATCTTCTCTGCTTCTTTCTCGAACCTCACGAAAGTCTCCTTCATCCTTAATCGTGTGTTTCCTAATAGATCAATATCGTCTGCAAATGCCAGTAGTAAGTTTGGTCCTTCTCGATGAAATACTGTATTAGGTTTTTCGATTCTTGCACTTCTGATTATGTGCTCCAGAGCTAAGTTGAAGAGTTGTGGTGAAAGTGCATCTTCCTATTTTAGTCCATTTTTTATTTCAAATGTCTCCTAATATTGTTGTCCAACTCTCACCTTACATCCTAACCGTTCCATACACATCCGTATCAACCTGACTAGCTTTTTTGGAAAGCCAAGTTCCTGCATCGCTGTCCACAGTCTGTCCCTGCATACAAATAATAGAGTTGTAAAATAAATCATTGCTATGCTCGAGATATAGAGGTCCAATTTAATTTTTCGAGTTATAGAGAGAAAATATTTACCAAAATGGCTTGCAGGTACTCACTGATTAATTCGACTAATAGATGGTTTGAGATTTTTAGTAATGGAGGTTTGGGGCTTGAAGGGAACCGGACAAAACTTTTTTTGATTTTTGGAAATTTTCAATTTATTTTGGTTCGACTTAAAGATGTTTTTCTTTACCTACATACTTATAAAATTTATTTATTACTTGTAAATGGTATTGTTAAAACATGCAACTTTCTCACAAATCAGTCAGTCATTGAAGGACACATAAAAGGTCTTCAATGTCTTTAAACACTAATCTTCCTACGTTGATTCTACATTTGAAGTAGAGTCAAGTCACTCGTCATTTTATTACTTTTTTCTTTTAATAATATAATTAATTGTTGATAGCGCATTTGTAAATTTTGTAAGCTAATAATTATTATTAATTTGTTATAGATATTGCTCAGTTTGAACTAGAAGACATACTTGACAGAGAACCAATCTTTTCTGACCCCGAAAGCGAATGGACGGGTACGTTTAAAATCGAAGAACCCGAGGATGAAGATGAACAATATCCTACTAACGATACTCTCCCAGAATCTGATCGAAGAGGTAGCCGAGAAGTCATCAATCAGTGGAACAAAAAAGAATATAAAATCCCATCGATGGTCTACGAAGATGACACATAGATATATTGGCATCTACGTTTAGGATGATAGTTTTTTAAGATATTTTTAAATTATATAGAATAGGTAAAGTAGTAAACAGCGGACCATAAAAATATAAAAGATTTAGGGTTTTCATCATTTACCGAAAAAATATTGTATTGTATTTAGCTCCCGTTTAAACCGCTTGTTGTGATTTAAAAACAATATCATAGTGGTTATTCTCAAAGCAGGACCCATCGGTTTTTATCTGAACAGACGTTGTTCTATAGATGTATTTATTTATCGAATTTCCAATGTTCTCATTCCATATGTTCCTAGCACAATACATTTATGTTAATGTTACACTTCAAAAACTATCAAAACTAGGTTCCAAAATGGCTCCTGTGTTTCTATTTCAGATTGTTACCAAAAATTGGCCAGATATTATAATATTTTTTCTATGAATTCCCTCACAGTATAGTTAAGATTTTTTATATTATATAAAAACTAAAGAAAAAAAAATAAAAGACGACTGGGTGCGTTCCTTTAAAAATTAACCAAAATGCATAGTTAGCATTGTAGTTTTATCAAAATGAGAACTATATACTTGGGCATAAACTTAAGTTTTTTTAAGAACTGTACAGTAAATAATGGCTGGTACCATGGAAAATTCGAAAAACGTAGAAAATAGGGGATTTTATTAGTAATCTTGATGATGAAGTCATCAAATATTACCTAATATATCTCATTGGTAATAAATTGATTTTCCCATTGAAAAATATTACTCGTAGAAGATATTAACGCTATGAAAATCTGGTGCAGCGCTAGAAATAACCCTCCTAAGTTAAGTTCTATTATAGACGATTTCCAAGAAAACCCTAGACGATAGCTCAGATAAACAAAATAGTTCTATGAACTTTTAGAGTCAATAGTACCGGTTTCTATATATTCACGTTCGATCTTCATTAAGATCTATGGAAGAGTTTTAGTAGGTACATATGTATGTAGTTTCTGTGATAGTATCAATTCAACAATTATTAGAGATTATAAACAATTACGGAAAATTCCTGATAAAGAATCATAAATAAATTTACAGTTGTTTTATTGAAAAGATTTTCTTACATTCCAAATTAAACTAAATTTTATCGCAGTTTTTTCTTATTAAATTTTCTTCCATTCTGCGTAAAATCTGGATACTAGTAATTCCGCTGACACAGAAGACTCTAAGATCACTTCACAGGCAGAAATATTCCAACTATGCCATTAGCGATTGGGAGAATAGCCAGGCTCTGAGTAATAATATAAATACATAACATTATAGCAATGCTCCTCTCATGATGCAGGGGTATATCTCAATTTTTGACAACAGTTTTTATTTTAATTAATGCTAACCATGCTTTTGTTAATTTAAAATCTTATAAACAAAGGAAATGGCCTAATTCCGTTAAAATAGTAAACCCGTAAATATTGGTGATTCAAAACATTGTGATTTATCGTTATACCATTATTTAATTTTATTATTATTAGAAGTTATAATAAAAGTTTATTTTTAATATTTAAATTTAATGAAACTAGTTAACGTTATTGTATCTCTCATAGTGTTCAGCATGACTACATTTTCAACTATCTTTAGTATAGTATTATCATTTAAGAAACTTTTTTTTATTTCTAATATCTTCCTTCTTTAATTAGTTTCATTTAGCACTCGGTTCTTTCTTCGCATCTGGCGGTGAAATAAAGTACTACCACTGTATAACCAACAAACAGGAATAAATCTAAAATCTTTAATGTTAAAAGAAGTCGTACAATTTCAGCAGATTATTGAAAAAATTATAAACTGAGCTAAATTTTTGATAATGAATAAATGCTATAATAATAAAATCTTTTACTTCAACTTATTTACGTATTTCGAAATTAAGTAACATTATTTACAACTGGATTAAATGGTGAGCTTCGGATTAAATTTTTAATTATCAATTTTTTTGTTAAACTATTATATAAAATTTGTAAAGTAAATATTTTTTAAGAATAGTTACATTATTGCAAACAATATTATATACATACAAAACAAATATACCGAATATAATAAATACACCGTAGGTATCTGTTAATAAAACAACCGAGTCAAATAATCTCAAAATTTGTGAATAAATTGAAAAACATCGTAACCACTTTTAATAACACTGCTAAATCGGCTCTCTGAAAAGATTTGTGTGACTTTGGTTTTACTTACAATAAATAATAAATAATTTTTGCGTAACTTAAATAAGTTTACTGTTTTTTTTGGTATACTATGGAAGTACAACGTTATTTCAACAATTTGTTACCATTATTTCATTCTCAGTGTGTTTGAGTACATAATATATTTATTTTCCGTTTGTGATTAATTTTTGATAGATTTGCCTTTAAAGTTGGTCTTAGGTAGTACGGCTGTAGGTGTAAGGTAATCGACATGTAAATAAAGAAATGTGTGATAAAAGTATATTTTTATATTGTATATATTTTTATAACCAAGTATTACAATAATTAATTTAATGTCAAGAATTTTTAATTATTTTGTTTCGCATATTGTTACATTTAGTAAATATACTGTTTGCAATATTTTTACTGTCCTTTCTTTAATCAACATCATCCATCAAACAAATATCCCAGTAAGCACAAGTACGTACATAAGACAAACTAAGTGCGTACTGATGGGACATAAAGTATTTGTACAATGTACGGTCTTTGCTGTACGAAGTACGTACTTAATACGTACATAAGACGTACATTTTCCAATTTCTGGTACATACCTAGTACATACTATACAGGGTGAGTCATAACTATTGGGACATAGACTAAGGACAGGTTATTTGGACCAAAACATGGCTATTGGGCCAAATATGCCTTAATAAAATGTTGCTGAGAAAAAAGATACAGGGTGTTAAAGTTAATTTTTGTTTTTCTTTTTTGCTAATAGTTTACCTGTATATTTATAAATTGCTGTCAAAATTGACACAGAGGCATAATCTTAGACAAGAAATAGTATTTTATTTACAAGTCCACTATCAAATACCAAACTAATAAACAAAGTTGCAACTAACGTAAGGTTTCCGTTTTGACCATAAATCAAAACTAAACAAACTTTAACTTAAAAGAACTTACAAAAACTCAAACTAAATGTTCTACATAGTCTCCTACGATTTCTATGGCTTTTCTAATTATTTTTATAAAGGATTTTCGGACGTTAAAAAAAATATTATTCTGTCCCCTTATAAGATTAGCTGCATTTTGAATGTATCTCCAAAGTTCGTCTCGTGTATTAATTTCATTGGTATAAACTAAGGACTTCATATGTCCTCAAAAATAAAAATCTAGCGGGTTGTACTCAGGATTTCTTGGTGGCCATTGAAAATCACTGCATCTGCCAATCCACCGTTGAGGAAATACGTCATTAAGATGATTTCTAACAGCTAATGAAAAATGAGGTGGGGCTCCATCCTGCATAAACCGCATTTTTCTTCTTACATCCAGTGACAGGTCATCTAAAATATCACTAAGAGTATTTTCCTAAAGGAGTGAATAAGGATCTCCATTTAAATTCGGAGGAAGAACATAAGGCCCTAGTAGTTGGTCGCCTATAATGCCACACCAAATATTCAATTTAAACTCATGCTGAAAATGTCTAGCTTTAATACCATGCGGGTTTTCTTCTTCCAAATAATGACTATTTCGCCAATTAAAAACCCCTCGTCTGGTAAAAGTTGCTTCGTCGGTGAACATAATATTCTTAATAAAGTGTCTGTCATTGCGATGTTTGTTCAGAATACGTTGGCAAAACTGTAACTGTAAAATTTTGAACAGGAGTGAAGTGATAAGGATGGAGGTTCTCTTTTTTTTAGAATTCTAACAATAGACGAATGACTTACTCCTGTTGCTGCTGATAGATGTCGTAAACTTATTTCAGGATTTTCATCTACTTGAACCAAAAGTTCATCTTCTTGATTAGGTGTGATTTGTTTCGGTCGACCACTCCGATTTTTAGTGTGAAATGACCCAGTTTCACCTAAACTACGATATAATCTTGCAAAATTTTTGTGATTTGGTTGCCTTCTGTTTGCATATAACATTCCATACCTTTTGGCTGCCGAGCGACCGCAAACATTTTCTTGTGCGTATACGCAAATCATATCTCGCATTTCTTCATTAGTAAAATAATTGTGACGAGACATTTCAATCAAAAAAAGTAATGATTACTTTAAAAAAAATGCAACATTACACTACACTGTCACATCAAAAATAATTTACTCTGAACAAATGACATTTACCAACAACAATTATCTGACAGTCCAAAGCATACTTTTCATAAATGAAATAATATTTGAAATCCTTTTTTAAGACTCTAAACAGTACGACTTCGTTTTTACCGAAAACGGTTGAAATTATCATGTTTAAACAAAAGTACCAATTTTACGTAAAAATGATGTTTACGTCATATTTTCTAATAAAAATTACTAAAAAGTTTCATCAGAAAAAGTTTAGACTCAATTTGATCATTAGGAATGATCCACATGGCGCCCTCTATGACAAAACGTAAAATTGTAAATAAAATACTATTTCTTGTCTAAGATTATGCCTCTGTGCCAATTTTGATAGCAATTGATAAATATACGGGGAAACTATTAGCAAAAAACGAAAAACAAAAATTAACTTTAACACCCTGTATCTTTTTTCTCAGCAACATTTTATTAAGGCATATTTGGCCCAATAGCCATATTTTGGTCCAAATAACCTGTCCTTAGTCTATGTCCCAATAGTTATGACTCACCCTGTATATACATATTATGTACATACTATACACACTTATGATGATTTATGTAAATAAAAGTAAATATAGGTGAATATATCTTTATTATTTTTTTTTAAATAAATTTAATTTTTATTCTGATTCCTTTTCGTTGAAAAGTTTTTAAGCCATCCCCGGCTCTCCTCAACCAATTTCTTGCTCTGCCACCTTAGTATTACTACATTTTTGACTAAAAAACACTCGACTGAATAAGATAACAGGAAACTACACTATAAGCACCAACACCAAAAATAAGTAAAAAAAATCTAAATGAAACTGTCTTGCCATTAATTATCACATTAAAACTGTACTCAAGGTGGACAATTCCCAACCAAATAAATTAGGTTAGGTTAACATAACCTAACATAATAAATATGTTTTAGCTCTTCTTTCTCATGGTACATACTTAAGACCTAATAGTACGTACTCTTCTGTACGTATTGGTATGTACCTCAGTGTACGTACTTAAAACGTACATTTTACATCATGTACGTACAGTACCAAAATTGTACGTACTCAAAACGTACTGTGCTGTTTGGGATTAGCAAAACGACGGAGTATGATACGTACTCGCCACGGGAACACACTGTCCGATCAAAGTTCTTTTACTTGATAGCAATTCCCTTTAAATTCATAACTCTACAGGAATGATATCTCGAACTCTTACCAAAGCTCTTGCCGTTAGGAACTCGGCATTGTCCACATCTTCGACCATCCTTAAACTTCCCTCTCGACAGTAACCATCAGGTCTGGTCATCAGAATTTTCTCACTATTACCGGGTATTGTTACGCCACAAGGAGTTAGTAAACGAATAACATCTTTGTCTTCATGAAACGCCAACTGTTCACCACTGATCTCGAGAACTCCATTGACATTCAATATAGGCCCAACTTTCTTAGTAAACCCATCCCCAATATGAACTCATTGAAGATCTCTGCAATTAATATTCTGTGTTTCACTTTAGTTTGGCCAATGGATACTGACATATTAGCTTCGCCATATGTATTAATTAGCTCACCTGTTCTAAGCCTTACCGTTGCAGGCGATAATTTAGGATGGCCTCGTACTACTTCTGGACGTGCAATAGTTCTTGTTGCACCTGTATCTACCAAAATCGATCCACGTTTATTATAGATGCGCCGCTTGATGTACAAGCCATGAATTCCACCGGAGGACATAATGTTAACAGTTACTATGTTGGCTGTGTTTCTCGATGTCGGCAGTTGCCCCTTGGTGTCGACCCGTTCTAGGTTTCCGATTGTTGTATCTTTTTTTTGTAATTTATGGCGAATGTGACTTCGCCACCATTCCAACATCTGGGTTCGTGTCTCTTGGGCCTCGTGCTACGAACTACTTTCCATCTTTCCATAAGATTTCCTCCAGACGTTTATCGTTTTGTTCGTCGCTCTGTTCGTATTCGACAGCTCCGTGAAGCTTGACTAAATGTTTCGTGTTCCAAGGTAATGGCGAGCGCTTCATCTAAAACTTTCGGTCTTGCTAGTCGTAAAGTTTTCTGTAATTCATTTTAGATGACGAAGGTATCTACCTGGGGCGCAAGGGTTAACTCCCCCCCGGGTATATAAAGTAAAAATATATAAAGAATAGAATAGTAGGAAAATGTAACTTGTCTTTCATACTCAATACAAACAATCCAAAATAATCTAATATTAGGCTCACGACAAAAGTAACGAGTCTGTTGCGAGTAGCCTGCGCCTACAGGACTGTATCTGCGATGGCCTTGTGGACTATCACGCGTTGTGTTTCTCTGCATGTGTAACCAGTAGAAAAGAGACTTTTCTATGAGAGAAGGGAGCATTTGGCAACAGCTATAAAAAAGAACAAAATGAAGGATCAATGGAAAGATGGCAAGAAGAGTGGAACAACAAGGAAGAAGGACGTTGTGCAGTGGACCAAGATGCTGATCCTGAGCCTAAGACATAAGGTTCAGAAAGACAGATACAGATATATGCCTATGCGGCGAATATTCCGACATTGTTACTCACATAATGCTGGAGTGTAATAGATGTACAGTGGAAAGAAACAGAATGTATAAAGAAATAGGTATGTTCCCCGTGACTGTAAGAGAGATGATCGTGATGATAACGGGAAGTACGGAGAGATGGAATAGTGTTCACAATTACATCCGAGCAGTCATTAAAAAGAAAGAAGAAGAAGAGAAACACCAACCAGACCAACGACAGAGATAAGAGCGAATTACTATTTTTATGGGAATAAGCCACAATTGTAGGTTAAAATAAGTTTATTGACGTTTGAATCTCCACTTCGGAATTCGTTCTCAAAATACAAACATTAATGTAAAACTTCAATAAACTTATTTTACCCTTCAATTGTAGCTTATTCCCATTAAAACAGTAATTATTTTAAAATACCACAAGAAAATAGCTTCAGAACAATAGATAAGATTTAGATAAGAAAAGGGAGTGCTCCAAAAATGTCGTCACCTTACAGCTGCCACCCTACTTTCGGAGTACGGTACGTGCGACAGTAAACTGCGCAAAAGTAAGAAAGGGTAGTTTTAGTTGGTAGGCAGGATAATAGATACTTGAATGAAACTAAAACCCAAATTTTAGGGACTCAAAATGGAGATAGCATAAAAAATTTCGAGACCCCCCTCAGACAAATTATGGGTGCGCCACTGGTATCTACAGCAATTTCTTCCAAAATGCTGTCTGGTAGTATACCTCCGGATAAACCATCCGCACTATACGAGCAACATCTGCTTCAAACTCTTTTCAAACAAATTTTCACTTGCTCGTTGAATTCTACTTCTTAGTTTCTCCTTGTAGACTTGTTGTAAACGGGCATTTCCGTAACTTTTTATAGTTGTGAACAAGGTCTGGTAACATTTTTCTTGAACCTTAGGTCGAAAAACCTCGAAATAACGCAGTTAAAGCTTCCACGCGTATCAAAAAGAATGCAACAAAATAACTTAGGTGCAACACGAAAGTATAGAATTGGTGGAACAATTCTGCTACTTACTATTACTGGTAGACTACAAAAACAACACATCCATAAAAATTAGTAAAAGAATATGCGTGGCTAACCGCTGTTATTTTGTTCTAGGTCCTTAACTAAGAGCAAAAAATATGCCAAGTGCAAGATATTGCCAACTTTATAAAACAGTAATACGCTCGGTGCTCACTTACGGATCAAAAACGTGGGCAATCACCATTCAAGATGAAGAGTTACTACGAATCTTTAAAAGAAAAGTATTAAAGACCATATATAGCGAAGTTAACGAACAGCGTCTGTGGCGAAGGCGAAATAATTTTGATTTCATAGACTCTTTGGTGATGCAGATATCGTGAAAACTATCAAAATAAAGGATAGGTGGGCCACGTTATGCAGATGGATGAAAGTGATACTGCTAGAATAATCATGCTAGATAGAAAGATCGGTACATAATGGTATAATAGGTACGTAAAAAAATGTATTTTTTCGTCTTCCAATGGAGCAATTACGAATTACCAAATTCCAAAGATGCTTTAGTTTTGTTATAAATAAGTAAATTTATTTATGCTGCAGTTGTCGGGGACGAAAATGCCACTGATCCTGTGAAAAGCGTATGAACAGGCTGAATTGTGCGGAGAGTATTAATTTTGGAACTCCAAAAAATATACAAAATAAGGCTTACTTCTCCTACCCCCTACCGCCTAAACCCTAAAATCTTCCGTGTGGTGGGAGAGGAAAAAATTGATTTACCAAGAATCTGTAACGTACAAAAAAAATGTTTCAAATAAAAAGTGTAGCTGAGATATTTTTGAACATTTAAATTTTTATTCATTAATATTAAAATTTTATATTGTACATAATAATTTAATAAAAAATTTATTCTAGAACTAATTGGTCAGCTTCTTTACTGTCAGTGACTTTGTCGTTTCCATTGGATGTCGTCTTATACAGTTGGGTTTGCTTGATAGCCCCATACAAACAAAATAATAGATACAATGATTGTACTTTCTTTTTCGCCAAAGGTATCTGGAATGTACCACAGACGGTTTTAATGTAATCTTGCAAGGATTTGTTATCTGGATTAGGAAAACCGTGTTTCTTAAGATCTGCTTCCACCTCTTCAGGCCATTCCTGCATGAGGTCGTCTAAATCAGGCATTGGTCTAAAAATCAAAGATAATTTTAAGCTTTTCCTCTGAATACTATGGTTTTAAGACAAGATAAAAAATTATGTTAGTGTGGAGTTAGAAGTGGATTTTTTTTAAGAGGTGACGCTAATACGGACCGTAGCGCCGCATTGTACTTTTGAGGGTAGTATGGGACTTCAAGTACTTTACTAGCGAAGTGTGCCACCCCCAGACCTTACCACTAAACACTTTTATCTCCTACGGTATACTAGAGGGACGATTCTTATCGAGTGTAACTATCGAAGTTGTTCAGTTCTCTTTGTTATTGTAGTTTTGATTATTTTGTAGTTTTAATATATGTAATCCTATCATATTCTCCGTTCTTTTGTATAATTTACGTGATACTGTTTACCATTATATTAAAGTATTCTTTGCCAGCTATGGCTTTATTATGTTTACTGGTGTAATACTTTTTATTTTTTTACCAAATCTTCCCTTTCCTGCCTGAATTGAGTGCATGCATGCATTTTGTCGCTACAATTTTAACCTCTTCCTAGATTGAACTTCATAGCCCGTCCTTCTTTTTTTTCTTTTAGCATGACCACGGCTGTCTTCTCCGCCGTTATCACCAATTTATTTTTTTAACCCATTTTCATACTTTGTTCAGAGAATTGTTTCCCTTCTCTAGGATCCACAATTTGTATTATATTATCTTGCATTAGGATGACTAGATCATCTGCACAAGCGACTGTTTTCACCCTTTACCCGAACTTTAGCTCCAATACCCCTTTGTACATTATGTTCCACATTATCGGTCCCCAAAACTGATCCCCTAGAAACCCTCGACCGTTGTCTCCAACCTTTTTTACTGGATACTTTTATTTTTCTTACACATAATATTTGTGTATGTATGTGTATTAATGTATTTCATTTTTTCTATGGCCCATTTTGCTGCAATAAATGCATTTTTAATATCAAGCATTGCTACAACTATACATTTGCTTTTACTGTTTTCTAACTTGTTCTGCTACTATTTTGTTGCATCAATTGCTGATTTTCCTCTTTGAAATCCAGATTGTTGTTTCGATATTTATTAACCGTCATCCATCGCTTTTTTGTAATCTGTTTTTACGAGTATTTCGTATGCATGTTTTTCCCAGGGATTCCAGCAAGCAAATTAGTCTAGACGATTTTATCTCCTCCATTGACCTTCCCAGTTTTAATAATAGTATCTGTAAGTCATAGTAATTTTACGTCATCTGGAATTTTTTCTCTTTTTAAGTTGTTACAGATAGGCAATAACACTGCTGTTTTATGTTTACATAAATAACATCTTTATTAACTCCGGTGGTATCCTATCTCGACCTGGGGTTTTTTGGGCTTTAAACCTTCTTATGCCTCTCTTAATCCCCCCATTGTGGAATTTATTGGTATATCTTCTAACGTGGTTTGTTTTAGTTTTACTCTGTCCTGATAAGGGATCAATGACATTGGGATAGACCATGCTAGCGATAAACCCCTCTGGCATAACGATATTAAATAATGGTTATGGGATTTGGGGATAAGAATAGATGATTATAATTATGATGATGATGATGATTATGATTATAATGATGGAGATGATGACGACAATAAAGACGATCATGAAGACAACGATGAAAACGGTGATAAAGCCAATGGTGAAGATGGTGACGATAATGAAGACAAAAATAAAGACTATGAGGAAGTCGATGATAAAGACAAGGATGATAAATAAACATTTTAAATTTTACCATAATAATAATAATAAAAAGAAAATAATTTTTTTTGTTTTTTATTTATTCTGTAAACAATAACGTAATCTGCAAATTTTCTCTGTAACTATACGTTTTGTACCGTATTCTTTCTATTTCTTGTGATACCTCACAAGCCGTTCTACAAACCTAATGCCTCTTTGACCGGTCACCATGTTTGATTTCTGTCATTGTATTTTTTACGTTATATCCTTTCCAGCAATACATGAATTGCTTAGCCTTTCCAACTATACTCTGTATATTACAAGAAGTGATAGGCAAAAAGAAGAATAACGAAGATACGTGTTAGTGTCTTCTTGATATGACGATAGTATATTTTAAAATCTCTTATTTGTATACTTACAATAATATTACTTAATCTATAAGCCGTTCTGTGTTTATGGCATATTGTCATATTAATTATTATTTGTCATAATATTGGCATATGCCATGTTTTTCTATGTCTACTCCCTTGCCGACGATACCTTGCACCTTGTTGTACGTTGAGCCGTTTAGACGTTATAAGTTTTGTGTCGTTTTGGCAATACGCCGCCGTGTTTTTTTCTGTTTTTACGTATTTGTTGACCCCTCCCCTTTCCATCGATACCTTGCATGTTGTTGTACGTTGAACCGTTTAGACGTTACAAGCTTAGTGTCCTTTTGGCAATGCCGCCATCTTTGTTTTTTGTGTTAACGTATTCGATACCCTCTCCCCTTCCCGACGATACTTCACACGTCACGATCTGACGACCAGTCGCGCCTCCACAACAAAATGAGCCAAAAATGATCAAAATGGACCTTGGATTTTCTTATGGAGATTTACATGGGAAAATTACCAATTTTGAACTGGAACTGTTGCTGCCTATTTACTCAGGTTTATTGTCTCTTATCTTCTATGTTCCTCCAAAATATAAAATATTTTCGTCTGTATTGTTTTCTTGACTATTTTGTAGGTATCCCTTCAGTTGTCTTGTTCTAGTGCTTCGCATACAGTTTTCCAGCATTTTGGATATCGAGGAATATGATTGATGTATAAAAATTAAACCGATTGTTTATAAAAAGCCATAATAGATCTACTTACTCAGAGTAACGAACAACAACAGAAGATTTGCTTTTATGTAAATCAGATATGTCTTTTATCCATTTTTCAATAGTTTTTGAACTCTTTTCGATATTTTCTATCTTCTTTACAACCTACAATAAAAATTGCACAGTTTATCATATTTATTGATGTAATGCAAGGGTATATATAGGGTTAATTGAACGTTTTCTATATTTAAATAAAACCAAGTGTAACTATGTGAAATAACGAAATTTTTTATTGGTTCGAAAGGGTTTTCGGAGCCATTCTGTATGTTACAACACATTGTTTAAATGTCCGCCGCGACTTCGCATGGTGGCCATATACTAAATATCTAATTTTCAATTAATTTGGCGCATTAATCAAGCTGAATTTATGACTTAAAAGAACCCCACAAGAAATAGTCTAACGGAGTACAATCGCACGATATCGGTAGCCGATTTATATCCCCTATATGTGAGATGACCTTCCGCTTAAATCGCTTGTGGAAGACTATCCAATGAGTTGTATGACAAGTAGAGTTGATCTGTTGAATCCACCTATTGTTGACGTTCATATTCATTTCAGGCCAAAAAAGTTGATAATCGTCAAACTATAGCGCTTGCCGTGGACGGTGATAGGCTGACCAAATTCGTTCTGAACAAAATATGAATAAGTGATGCCACTAGTCCAAAATCCACAACAAACAGTGTGTTTTTCTAGGTGCATTGTATGTTCATCGATATGATACAATTCTGTTTGTTGACGTACACTGTCATCCAAAAATGGACCGCATCGCTGAAGATGATTTTTTGATGAAAATCGGGGTCAGTTTGTAATCCCTCCAGAGCATATTCAGCGAATACCTTCAGTTTAATTTTGTACTGGTTTAGGTCAAGAGACGATGCAAAATTCGCCGTTGTGGTTTGGACAAGTTCTTTTGAGCGATATGAAATTGATTGCCTCGGATTCTCCTGCATATTCTCACTGCAGAGATATTTTCAATAGTCATTGGGTTTCGTCAACAGTTATTTGACTATTTACTTAACGAACGGATTCAAATTTATTTATCAGACTGCGATTAGTCCTCTAGGTAGGATGATTATGGTGATCGATAAATGGGTAACGCACTCGGAATTTTGCCCAACCAGAACACCCATTTTAATAAAACAAAATTATGATTTTAACGTGTTGTTGTGCACTGTATCCAACCACTGTGTTTCTCTCTGGTTTGTGGGAAATGGCTTTGAGAGTTGGTTGCCCACTTTTTCCGTTCCACGTTCACTTGTTTAATAATTGTTATGGTTAATAACACTTTAGACTGGCCACAATTGTCTTGAGACAGTCACCAAATACCTAGCATTGTTTGAAATCATATTACAATTCTTTCTTATTAGAATGTTTTTAACACTGAGAATAGTCTCATTTCCTCAAGTTAGACAGCATAAAAAACCTTTTTGTTGTTTGGATAAGTACAGTACCTAAATTGATGAATCGTTTCACACTTCATCCCTAGTAACACACGACGTCCTATGGACATCCAATATACGTCCAGTTTTGGTCCGGACGTCCCTGGACGTAAAATGGACGTACGAAGTGGGACGTACTTTGGGTGGACCAAATATGGACGTTCTCTGGACGTCCGTACTCGGACGTTCTCTGGACGTCCATACTCGGACGTTCCCTGGACGTCCGAACTCGGACGTTTTCTGGACATCCGACATTTACCAATTATTGGATCAAATAGCAAATATTTCAATAAAATAAAAAATTATTTACGTTAATAAAATAATTAAAAGCGAAAAGGTTAAATCACAATTAATTAAAAATTGTATAGTTTAATATATCCAAAACATGTTTTTGTTTTTAGGTAAAGTGTAAAAATCTTTTATTTCTAGATAATTCGTTACAATTGTTTTATTATTCTAGTTATCAAGATAATAATATATATGTTTGCTAATTCTAATAAGTAAAAATATGATTTTTATCGACAAGATGAATCTTGATAAACTTTTCCACAGAATAATTGTCTCTTTTGTCTTTTCAAAGACAAAATAATGAAAAATAATGATGTGATATGACATATTGTGATGATTGATGAAATTAATTGTCAATATTGTCATGTCATACCTATTTAAACAAATGGCACAGTTTAATCATAATATTATTATTATTATTGCTTTAATAAAAGAAATAAAAGAACTCTAATTAAGCAGTGTACAGTGCATTGGTCTTTTTGAGGCTTCCTTTGATAGTATATTGTTAAAAGTTTGGTACCATTTTTGTTAGGTTATTTCCGAATTTGGTTTTTATTTTATTACAAAAAGGTAAGTAATTGTTCTTAAAATTGTTTATGTTTAAAAGTAAACGATTTGTTTCTAAGCGTCATCAACACAGGAAGGTTACGAAAAACGTAGAGAATATTGTTGAAAATATTAATAACCCCCATATTCCGTCTTCTTCAAACCTCTTCGGAATCACCAACTGATAATTTTGACGAGAGTTTCAGTTCAAATATGTAGTTCTGGTTACAATACTTCCGATTTAAACTTTTTATTAACATGTTAAGTGCCTAAAATAATCCAAATTACCACGTGGCCGACCATTCCAATGATACTTTACAAAGCTTTTTTTCATTGAAACTGAAGAAGGGTTTAAATATGGTTGTAACGAGAATTCTGGAGAACCTTATCGAGATGTTTTTAATTTTTCTAATAATTTATTCAACTGAACTTTGTCCTTTAATACTAGGTGATTTATTAAAAAATCATAAAGAAGTTCCCGATCTTTCTCATTTAAGTTCAGATGCTAGAACTCTTCTTGCTTCACCCAGAGAACAATTACTCTGATCCATATGATTCAAATTTCAAACATATTTTTATCTTCACAATAAAACAATGTTATAGAAACGTGTGTAAATTTTGATGGAATCTCATTAAAAAAGAGTTTTAGTAGTCAGTTTTATCGTAGTTTGTATAATTTGTTGATATATCCTAAAATTGTAAATTTAATAGACATTTACCATGGTTATGAGAAACCAAAATTTGCAAATGAATGTTTGTTTGATTTTTTAACAGAGCCTGTTTTTTTATTAGATAGTTTAAACTAAAATAATTAAGCATGGATGATCAAGTTTGTGGGGTAGTTAGATTACTGTTACATGTTGATTTATATTTTAGGATAATGAGCTTTGAAAAATTGGTGAGGAAACCATAAACGAATTTGTTAGGAGAAGCCATAAGAAGCTGGTCTGTAATAAAATTCAAGGAAGAATTTGTTCCATTTGTTATGAATAAATAAATATATGTAATAATAAATGTTAGTTCCTTTAAACATTTATGTTTTATTACTAAAAATTATTTTATATTTCTATAATGTTGCATTTTTGTATAATTTGGACAGGGGATTTGTCCCATTTGTTAATAATAAATAAATGTAACAATAAATGTAAGTTCCTTTAAACATTTACGTTTTATTTCCCAAAATACATTCTTAATATGCACAGGATGACACCACTTTTAGTATTTTATACAATGGCGTTGACGTCTAATTTATATCCTCAGCACTAAAATAGACGTCCGAGAACATCACAAAAGTCCGTCAAGTAAGTCCTCCGGACGTATGATGGACGTCCGATTAAGGTCCAATTAACTTCCCGGTACGTCCAACTAACGTCCTCTCGGGACGTAAAATGGACATCCATAGGACGTTCGGCGCAGCGACATTCGGACCAATATAGGACGTAAAACGGACGTAAATAGGACCAAAGCGGACGTCCGAGGGACGTCCTTAAAGTCCGTGACGGACGTACTATGGACGTCCATTGGACGTACGTGTGCTATTAGGGATGTAAGTGTATCATAGTCTTCAACTTGTAAAAATTCTAGTGATTTTACCTAATCACTAGTTTGATTACATCTCTTTATATAAAACACCATTTAAAAAAAATATTATTACTATTTTCATTGGATGAAGTACGGAGTGGGTGTTTCCGATTCCTTTGCGTTTTCTATCGAAAATACCCTAGCTTCTTTCTCGTGTAACACTATTATTATTATTCAAATAAATTAAATAATATAACATCTCCTTTTATCTGCTATTACTAATTTGTAATTCAAAATTACACAAGTTATAAAATTTTAAATTTTAAAATTTTTAAATTTTTTTTAATTTTCGCGGTATCTTTCATCTTTTCTCACCTCTTAAATTTTTATTTTCCTTTCTGCGCCGGTTCTTCTACCAAATAATATAAACTATATGCGTCTATATTCTTTGCTTCTACATACAGCTTGTCGAAATGCCACAATGGCGACTGGCAATTAATATCTAAGACATGCCTTAAATCATCAATTTTGTCGGTATGCACTTTTAAGTGCTTTCTAACCAGTAATTATTAATTTCCACAAGGAAACTAAGTTCCTGTAGCTGGCTGTATACCATGTATCACAAAAATTTATTTAAAATCCTTTATAAAAGGTATATAATTAAAACACCAAATCAAGCTACATCACATCACAAAATGTTTTCGGAATCTATATTCCATCATCAGTGTGTCTAGGTGTACATGTTTTGAGCCTGTTGCATATGCCTGAAATGGTCAAGCCAATGTTAAATGTACAAATTATGTAAGAGGAAGGCCAAAAACCAAGTGTTAATCTTTTAAATAGGAAATTATAATTAATGACGATGAAGTGTAGTGAATGCTTATGGTTAAAATAAGTTGTTGGACAACAGGGAATGTAGTCAATACAAAAGAAAATATAAAGTTTACTTGAAACACTACAAGAGAATAGGCTTAGCTCAAGAGAATGAGAGTTGTACTCAGAAAGGAGGTCGACACGTTTGCTTGCCTGTAGTAACTTAAGGTTATATCAATCCTAAGATGATCTTGAGATGGACGCTAGGGTGAATTTTAAATATCACTCCAATTTGGGGTATCTATAGTTATACACTAACTGAAAAATAAAAGATTATGGGAAAACAAATAAAAATCTGTAATTCTCTATACACTATATTGTAATTCTAATTTATATATAACTTAAATAACAAACCTATATGTATATTCACCAAACAATTACTAAAATATATTCCCCAAAATTAATATTTACAAAAACAGTTACCTAAAACTATGATCCAAAATATAAATATATACAAAAAAATTGCCCTAACAGTCCTCTGACTTCTTCTTCTTTCAGTGCCTATTCGTTCCGAATATTGGCAATCATACTGGCTATAATTATTTTATTGACTGATGCTTTAAATAGATTCGTTGTTGTTGTGGAAAACCATTTCCTCGGGTTCTTCAACCAAGATATTCTCCTTCTCCCAATTCCTCGCTTTCCGAATACTTTACCCTGTAGGATTACCTTCAGTAATCTGTATTTAGTGCTGTTTCTCAATATATGTCCGAGATATTCCAACTTTCTCCTTTTAATGGTATACATCACCTCTCTTTCTTTGCCCACTCTTCGTAATACGGTCTCGTTGGTTATCTTGTCTGTCCATGATATCCTTAGAATTCGCCTGTATAGCCACATCTCGAAGGCTTCAAGTTTTTTCTCCATTGCTTCAGTTAGTGTCCAGGATTCAACTCCGTAATACAATATTGAGAAGATATAACATCGTAGGAGCCTTACTTTTATCTCCAGATTAAGATTGTGGCTTTTAAAGAGTTTGGCCATGTTATTGAATGCACTCCTAGCCTTCTCTATTCTACATTTTATTTCCTGTGAGTGATCCCATTGTTCATTTACTGTTGTTCCAAGATAGTTATACTGTTTTACTCGGTCCACTGGTGTATTATTGATAAGTAGTTGAGCGTCTCTAACTTTATTTTTGCTGATGATCATAAATTTAGTTTTTGTTATATTTACTTGAAGTCCAAATCTTTCACTTACTTCATTTACTTTGTTTATTAGTTGCTGTAAACCGTTCAAACTGTCTGCAAAAATAACGGTGTCGTCTGCATAACGAATGTTGTTTAGGCGTTCTCCATTTAGAAGTATTCCATGTTCGCATTTTTCCAAGGCTTCACTAAATATTTCCTCTGAATATAGATTAAATAATATAGGTGAAAGTATACAACCTTGTCTAACGCCTCGTAGAATCTGGATCATTTCCGTTGGTTCACCTCCAAAATTCGTTCTTATTGTGGCTGATTGGTTCCAGTATAAATGTTGTATTATACGCCGATCTTTATCATCCATTTGGGCTTTTGTCCAAAAGTCCTCTGACAATGAGGTAAAATGGTCTGTTACAACTTTTGGAATAAAACACATGGAGTAAATAGTAATTGAAATAGCACAAAACAATTAAATAATTATACAAATTAATAAAGGAGGCAGTCTAGGGAGGTCAAAGGAGGTAGGCTTAGTCTCGGCAGAAATCTCTTCGTGAAAACGATTTCCTAATACTCCATACTAGAAATGTAAAATAAAAATAAAATAGACAGTTTAAAAAAAAACAAACTTCAACAAAAACTCTCACTTCATAATTTCGTTTCCGTAATTAAACGAAATTAAATATATTAAAATAGTATATTACATAACGAGAGTTGTAAGAAGCTTATTACATGCGAGTAAAAAAGTTGCGCGCGAGCCGCGTAGCGGCTAGCGCAGTAATTTTACAAGCATGTAATAAGCTTACAACTCAAGTTGTGTACTATACTTTTTCTACCATTATTTTTGTTTATAAAAATAAAAATTAAATTACCACTATATTTACACTGACAGATTAATAATTTTTAACCTGTCAAAACAACGCCTGTTAATTCGTTTCCATGGTAACTCGACCAACTGACTTACAAGGCGTATGTGATATTACACATTTTTATAGAACTGAAGCGTAATTTTTTTTATTACGTGCTAGTCATTACGTGTCAGTATCTGTTATGATGCATTTACTTAGCATCCAAATAGTAGGTAATATACAATTTACTAGTAAGAGAGTAGAAAAAGTCATATACAAAATTTAAATGTATAAATACCACATTTTCATCATTTTTCCTTCCAGCCTTTCCTGACGCCGCCTTAAGCTGCAGATATAGTACTGCAGGATCACTTTGGTTACTAGCAGGCTCATCCAAAACGGTTAATCCCAAGTGTTCGAATTTTTCTTTACAAGGCTCGTCATCAATAGTAGTTTCTGGTGGATAAATTTTTAAGAAAGCATCAATGTCTCCTACAGCTGGTATAAATTCGGGAATGAACGGTTTAAATTTATACCCAGGATTTATTTGTTGTGGAACGTACCTAGAATAAATATTCAAATTTTACTTTGATTCTTCGTATTTTGAATGGTAAAGATGTGTTTATTTATATCTATCTTCGTATTATTTACTATTCTACTCATGGAACAAAAAGATAAAAGATGGAATCTAATCGTTATGAAAAGGAGACCAAAATTCATAAAAGTGGCCTTTTAATATGGATCCGGGAATGCAAAGGCGCGAAATTTAAAGTAGCTATAAAATATTTTTCAGAATGAGTCTTAGACAAGAAAGTTTTAATTAAATACTAACGATACTAGTATAAAATGTGACACAATTGTTAAAAAACTTCAATATAAATAAGCTTTCATGTGGCATTTGGGACAAACAATAACATAACTCAACTAAATTTGATTTCTTAAACAAGGAAAGTGACTCTCTTTCCTTGTTTAATGTGGCCTCTCAAAATAGCACTTCCCGTCTAACAATATTTTTGCGCCCATTACCTTTATATTCTGTCTCTTCTGTCTTTTTGCTCGATGATTTTACTTAAGAGTTAAACTGAATTTCAGTTTAAAATACGTTTATTTTGACATCTTCCTCAAAATATTACCTATTAGTCCATTGCATTGTTATTCTTTTAGGGCTTAGCATGCATTTCTTAGAGGACTTAATTTTAATTTTTTAATGTGTTGAGAATGTACTTATAAGCTTAAGTTTAAGTTTGTGAGGTGGTCATCCTGGTCCCTCGGCCGACATCTTGGAAAAAGGGGTGAATTTTCGCGCTGGCGCTGTATCTCGTAAATTAGCAACCCAACCGAAAATGTTATCAGATATTGTTTATAGCAAACTGTATTGTCTATAACTTTGTTCGTAATACTTTTTATCGTTAAATGAAAAATAAAATAGTTATTAACAAAAATAACTAAAAATCATTGAACAAATTTTCTTTTGGGCCTTATATTTTCTTCTAGTCATTTTACAATAAAATGAAATTGGAGCAATATTATAGAGGGTTTCCCAGCGAATAATTTTCACTACAAATTTGTATAATTTCATTAATTTTTGTTGGGTTTTACAGCGCTCCGAAGTGGACTGGGTTCTTGCTTACTCGTAAGTATTCGATAAAAACGAACCATTAGACTTACGAATATTCAATATCCTGGTCAACTTCGGTGTGCTGTAAAACCCAGAGAAATTAATGAAATAAACAAATTGGCTGTGAAAATTAATCGTTGAAAAACTCTCTATAATATTGCACTGATGTCTTTTTATTGTAAAATGACCAGAAAAAAACATCCAAAAGACAAATCATTCAAAAATTTTTAACCCCTTATTCCAAGCTGGCGAGTATTTAAGAACTCGGTCAAATTCGAAACGCTGTAAAATTCAGAGATTTTAATGTAATTAAACAAATTTATAGTTAAAATTATGCTACAAGTTTTTTCTGAGCATATTATTGTAAAATGCCCAGAAAAAAAGTTAAAAGACCCAAAAGAAAATTTGTTCAATAACTTTTGGTTATTTTTGCTGGTAACTTTTTTATTTTCCATTTTACAAATAAAAGTAATGGAAATAATGTTGTAGACAATTTAATTTGCTACCAATATTGTAATTTTTCTGTATACTTGCTAGTTTACGAGATACACCGCGAAACCTTTTTGTACCCATTTTTTTAAAGATAGCGACCCGGGGGACAAGGGTGGCCTTATCTGGCCTTATCCAAATGACCTTAAGCTTATTCTTACTTTCCCTCCAATACAACAAACAAATAAAATTGCGTCCTCTCAAAAATGCAACACTAATGTAACTTTTAAATAACTATATCTTTTTAATAGTGAAAGGTATCAACAATTATTTTAGTATGGCCATCATATCGAAGAAGCAGATAATACCCTAGCAAATCGAAATGATTGGAATCCTTTTAACCCAAACAAAAGACCACCTACCATCGAAAACGTTGCCCAAGCCATTAAAAAGCTTAAAAATAATAAATCACCAGGAGTTGATCAAACTTGCAGTGAGCTCTACAAGAATGGTGGCGATGCCCTACTACAGACACTGCATAAGCTTTTACTTCTTGTTTGGCATAATGAGACCATGCCCTGTGAATGGCCTCAAGGCGTGATATGCCCGTTACATAAAAAAGGTGACCAGCTCCAGTGTGACAACTAAAGAGGTATAACCCTAACAACTGCTTACAAAATACTAGCAAATATTCTCTACGAAAGGCTGCAAGTTTACACAGTGGGCATAGTTGGTAAATATCAAGCTGGATTCACTCCAGAAAAATCAACAAGTGACCAGATTCATTCAATATGACAGATTCTCGAGAAAACATTAGAATTCAATATTGAAACCCATCACCTATTCGTCGACTTATGGATTAACCATACTATGGATTCCAAAAGCATTTCCACTCAAGAAACATTCAAAGAAGAACTAAAATTATTATATATAAAACATTGCTCACATATGGAGCAGAAACATGGACTCTAACGAAGAAAGATGAAAGACTTTTGGGAATATTTGAGCGTAAAATACTCCGCAAAATATTTGGAGCTGTAAACGATCAAGGGCAGTGGCGCAGAAGATATAATTTTGAATTGTATCAGCTCTTTGATGAGCCAGATATCATAACGTTCATTAAAACACAGCGACTTAGAGGGGCTGGACACATAATACGAATGCCAGAAAATACGATTGCTAAAAAGCTAACCACAAGAACACCTGTAGGAAAAAGAAGCAAAGGCCGACCGTGAATTAGGTGGTTAGATGGAGTGGAAACCGACTTACGAATATTAAAAATCAGATGGCAACATTTTGCCAAAAACCGAACAGAATGGCGACGAATCTTAGAGCAGGCCAATATCCACAGAGGATTGTCGAGCCAAAGATGATGATGATCAACAACTATTTATATATATATATATATATATATATATATATATATATATATATATATATATATATATATATATATATTTATATATATATATATATATATATATATATATATATATATATATATATTTTATAGTATAAAAGAGTGGACGAAATAGAATAGGAACTCTAAGGAGTTGTCAAACGACAAAAAGTTATGAGCCGACTACGTTGAGAGACAGTCCCTGCGCCGAATAAGTTTTTTGTATAGTGTGCCGTGACGATTTCAATGGAGCTGTGGATACTTCGGACCACAGTGTGCAGTTAAAAGTTACTATTATGTAGTAGTAACTAGTAAAAGGTACATAATTATTATGTCAGAAAATTTTCTGAACCAAAACACGGTACTCACCGCAACATGGATAACGATGGATAACCGGAATTGTTCATGCCAATACCTCTAAGTGAACAAATGATGGAACAGTATCAGCTAGCAATCCTTGGAACGTTGCGAAAAAATAAAAGGGAAATATCTCCGAAGTTTACACAGAAAAAAGAGGTAGACACATACATATTTACTTTCTACAGAAATAGAACACTAGTTTCGTACACTCCAAAGGAAGATAAAGTGGTACTACTTTTATTAACTTTGCATCCTGATTCATCTCGTAATACTATGATTGGAAAACAAAACCTTGTACATTCCTATAATGAAACAAAGGGTGGCACAGATACCTTTGATCGGATGTGCCACTCATACACAACCTCCCGCAAAACTGCTGGCCTCTTAAAACGTTTATCAATATGTTAGAATATAGCGGAATAAATGCTATGGTTGTATTTTCACTTGCAAATCTCCAATAAGAAGATGACCAAAAACACAATAGAAAAATATTTCTAAAAGAACTTTCAACTGCATTATTTGAACTGGAACTAAGGGAAAAACTACAAGTTACCAATTTGCCAACAACCGTACGTCTAAAAATTTGCGAAATATGAGTAAATTGTATCTCAAAGGAATCATTGTGATGTTAATTTGCCTAAAAAGATTCAATGCGACTTTTGTCCTCGTGAAAAGGATCGAAAAACGAGTTCTGCTTGTTCGTTGTGCCACAAACCGTACTGTTTAGAACATCCAGATCAATTATGTTGTGTCTGAACCAAAGTTAAAAAACAATGGATAACGTGCCTCGATAAAAGTAAAAAATAGTTATCTTGTAACATTTATGTTTTATTTTAGTTTAAAGTGTTTTTAAAGGACTTTTGTAATTATATTGGAATTTTCTTTTTTGGTCATATCACTATAGTTTTAAAAAAGCTTAATAACCAGCACTTGTTTTTTCCGTTTATCAAACCTATTGAGACATTTTTTTAAATAAACATATTTTGAATAAAAGACATTGTTGCTTGTTGTTTTGCACTACATACCGCAGAAAAAAAATAACATTTATTATTAAAAAAACACTTAGGGTTTTTGAAATCCCACTGTGAAGTACACGTTGGATGAAAGAACTGTGCTGTTTTAAGCTTAAAAGACGTACACTACTTTCAAATTCGCCACAGAAAACATGAATAAACAGAAGTCAAAAAACTTAAAAACAACAATAATACAGGTGAAAATAAAGCATGGTCGATATAAAAAGCTAAAAATGAATCTAAATTCGAACGAGTTAAAAATTACACTTATCTGGTAATAGGAGTACACGTAAATAAAAATAGAAACAATGATCTTGAACTAATGACAATATTTCAAATATGAATTAGGTAAAAGAGCCGAAACGTGTGATCAAATTATTATGATCACTTCAAAAAGCTTTGTATTTTGCTGTTTAATAAAGAATAAAACTGCATATAAGCGTCTAATGATGTGAATATCATATAAAAATAGATCATAAACACGTTCTTTTACAAAATTATAAAATCTTTTTTTCTTTGACCTTAAATAACAATTTTTTTAATATTTATTGTGACCTCCTTTAGCTTCGATGACAGCTTTGATCTTTGTTGGCATGCTTTAAATGTTTCTCAGGCAGTCTTCTTTTATTTTATCGTCTCTGTGCCAGATGGCAATAAGTCTCTCAATTAACTGCTGCTTATTTGTGACAGTTTCCTAGACAATCCTCCTCTTCATAAGCTTCCATAGATTTTCGATCGGATTGAGGTCTGAAGAGTTATCTGGTCACTTCAGTACTTAAATTTTTTTTTCCAGATACGTTGTTACTGTTTTTGCCTTATGGAACAGTGATAAATCGTACAAAAAGGTAAAATCCTCCGATTCGCCAAACCAGTCTTTGATTTGTGGCATGAGCTTTCTTTCCAGAACTTCAATATACTGATGTTGATTTATCATTCCATTAACAATCTACAGCCTCCCTGTGCCCTTACTGCTGATCACAGACCATACCATGATCTTGAGAGGATGCTTTACTCGCTCCAATATGCAATCCTTATGATATTTTTCACCCAATCGCCTTCAGACGAAGGCTGCCTTATCCATGAATATCTCCACTGTAGACTCATCGGAGAAACAAACCTGTGAATAAAAAAAACTATAAGATATTTTTTTATGATAAAAAGGGGGTTAAAGGGATTTAAACTTTAGTAGTGACGTAATTTACCTTATTCCAATCGTCAATTGTCCAATTTTGGTGTTCTTTGACCCATTACAGCCTCTTTTAATCATTGCGATGGTCAACGTTGGTTTTTTGGCAGGGCGACATGATTTGAAACCTTGCTCATCAAGCTTTCTGTGGACTGTCATGTCAAAAACTAGCAGCATAGCTTCACGAATAAGTCCCGTGAGGATTCACTTCTTTCTATGGTTTACGAAGATATCCCTAATTTTTCGTTCGTCTCTGGGTGTAGTGACATGCTTTCGACCGCATTTTTGGGCACGCTGGTGAGTCAGGGGTTTGTTGGTATCAATTTTTTTCTTGATATTGTTCACTGTTGTTTGTGCTACTTGGCATTGTTGAGCTATCTGACGTTGGAAAACCTTTGTATTCAATAAAAGTGTCTTTATCTTCATTATTTTAGACACGGGGACATCTTTAGCTTTACCCATTATGATTTTCTTCTCAAAAATCGAAATATTTTGAAAATTTCTTTAAAATTAAAAATGATAGTTTTTTTGTCGCTCACAATCACCACTAATATATTAATAAAACATACTACAAAGTTAAATGATACTAATCTTTCAAAAACAATGCAAAAACATACAAATTCAGTTGTAAACTCCAAGCGCAAATTCATCACAATGTGTATGTTGTCACGTAATTTGACACAAATGACAGTTTTAAAGCTGTAAACGTCAAAAAAGTAAGGATATTCGTGGCAAAATATATATTGGCATACCTTAATCATATAGCAGCAAATGATTTTGTTATAAAATTTTTGAACAAATTTGAAAAACTTAAACTTTTGTGGCTGATCATAATAATTTGATCACCCACTGTATACAATACTTATATCAAATTATGTTTCAAGAAAAGCAAAATTACATATCTGTAAAACAGTGCTAACCCCAATGGTGGTACAAATGAGACTCGAACTTTAACCTAACCAGAAAATGAAAGTATGCAAAAGAAAATTTTTAAGAATTCTAAGAGGACGGAGACTTCTACAGAAGAAGAGCTAATACTGAGATAATGAATTTATATGTGAAACTCCCAGTAGGTCCTAAGTTTTGGGACACCAAAAAAGATGCAAAAAAATTTACTTAGCCACTCCTACCCCAGACTTTCCCCTAAAACCCCCCTCATAGAGGGACATCGATTTACCCAGAAAAATCTGTTCGTCGTAGAAAAAAATATTTAAAACAAAGAAATGGAACTGAGATAATTTCGAACATAAATGTTTATTAGCACTTTTTGTGTAGAATAAACCGTCCTTTCAGAAACAACGCTTGAAGCGACCGGCGATTCTGAATGTGAGTTACGCGCAGGAAATGAATTTTTTACATATAATTTGTATTAATAAGACGATAAAAATTCTACATCTTTTGATCGGAGTGTTCTATCTAAAAAAATCAAAATGCGTTTTTAAAGTAAAGAATGAAGCTTTTGTAATAAAGCTGTTAAATAAATAAAGGTTGCGCGATTTTTGCTATTTTTCACGATTCTCATCGAAATCAATAAAATTGATCCTATAACCTGAAATTTCGATTTTGAGTTTTGGCAACAACTATAAAACAATTGAAATATGTATGCCTAAAAATGCTGAATTTAAACTTTCACATTACAAACCGTATAAAACATTTAAACTCCTTTCGATTGCACATGTACATGTTTTAAAACTGCACAACTTCAGCTATCACCACCGATCTAAAACGTTTAAAACTTCTTCATTTTGATTGCACAAGTACATTTTTCAAAATAAATAACGTCAGTTACAAATTCCACCCAATTATGTCTTCGTGGAAACATTTCCCTATTTATAAAGAAGAATGTAGGATTGAACTGAAAATAATTATAAATTCTTCTTCTTGTAGTGCCCCATCATTATTGGGCGATAGCAACCACTCTAGTCACAAAACCTTATTCACGGCTTCCCAACGAAGTTTTCTAGTCCACTGTCCCAATTTCTTAAGCCACGAAATATATTGTCTACCTGCTCCTCTTTTTCGTTCACTTTTTCCTGCATAATAAGTTAAATGATATGGTATTTTTCGTTTCGCATTATGTAACCGAAGTATCAAAATTTTCTTTGTCATTTTTCATTTACTTTTGCAATTATTTCTAATAATTGTCACCTGGATGGTACGAGCCAGTTTAATTCAGTTCTTTCACAAAGTCTTCCCTAGTGAAAGGTTAACATTAAAACACATATAGGAGAATGGTTAGAGAGTAGAATTGAATCGAAATGTAACCGTATATATTTATTTTAATTTTCTTTGTCTTGCGTTTAAAAGTATATGTTGTTGCTGACATATCCCTTGCAAGACAGTTTCATTGGTGATATGGTGTGTCTACGATATTCATAACATTCTACGGTAGCGCCACATTTTGCAAGTCCAACAAGGTCCAAGCTTCCACGCTATATAAAAAAGTTGAAAACCTGCGCCTGAGCATTTGCAATCTAATATGTATACTAAGCCGCAAGTTATACAGTGTATTCTTCATTTTGTTAAATATACTTTTAGATTTTTCGATTAAAATATGGATGTCACGCGAGTAATCCCAATCTCCGTTCAAGTTGCAGCCCAGATAGGTGAACTCTTGCTAATACCTTATTACCTAAAAAGAATTTGTGGTAGTATTATTTTTACTGATGGTCGTTATCATCTTGGTTTTTGTCGACAACGAAAATGCAAAGCACAGGCTAAACCACCTCAGATTCGCCGTCGACATCGTGATTATATCGAGCACATTCGAGGAACTACAAATTATGATGAAAGAACTAGCAGACAGCTCCCAATACGTCGGCCTAAAGATGAATATAACAAAAACAATGACAAAGCAATGGCTTACGAGCAATGTTAGATATACGACTGTCAGATAAACGACTGTCAGATAAAAAGAGGAACGACTGGGTAAGATCCAAAACAAAAGTGGAAGACATCACAACAAAAGTTGCCAAACTCAAATGGAGCTTCACAGGTAACACTGCTAGACAAAAAGACCAACGTTGTAATACCACAATATAACATTGGAGACCTTACAAAGGTAGACCACCGAGAGAAAGACCACAGATGAGATAGTAGATAGTATGCTGCTCAGGATAAGATCGACGGAAAGAATTGGGAGAGGCCTATGTCCAAAATGGACGATATAAGTCCGTCTGGACAGTTGACAAGTAAGACGGTGTCGTCAGCATATCTGAAATTATTTATGGAAATCCGTTTTATTGATATTGCATCTTCAATCTTCTCTGAAGCTTATCTAACGAGATGCTCATTTTTCACTTTAACTTTACTTTTTTGTTGTTGATAGAAGTTAGCTATGATTGTGACATCATGATTTTGTATTCCTGTTATTTTTTGGTTTTATTATAGGTACATTACACATTGCTTACCTGGATATATATTGAAATATTTCTTTAATTTCATCATTTACTTCTAAATCTTCGTACATTTTCGGGTCATATTCTCCTGGTATGGTCATATTGTCCTTATGGTCGTTTTCACTATCATCACTATCGCTAAGTAAATGACTTATTTTTGGTTCCGCTAATGTTCTTCTCTTTAGTACTGCTGTCTGACGTCCAGAAATATTCCCGAGGCTTGGTGGATCAAGATTCTTCGCAAAATTAGCCTGTGTCAACGGTTCCATTTCTTCTTGACTTGGGCTCTAAAATATACTAAAATTTATTACTATATGCCTAAGAACAAAAAACAATCTTATCAAAAATGTTATATAGCTGAAATGACAGGTTCAGATATTTATTCCTTTAAAAGGAGGTTGGGTATCAATTAAAATGATTCAATTTCAATTAAATCTAGTGGTGGTTTTAAAGCACCTGTAAGCAATCAACACATAATTATTTAAAAATAAGTTATCTCTTTAATTCACAAGCTAAGAGATGTTCGACTGTATCCAAATGCAGGCAAATAGGGTGGAAATCACGTATGGAATAAAATTATTTATGCCCTTGTTTAAAAAAATTATAAAAAAAACTGGAACCCGTCGATTTTTATATATAAATATGCTTTTTTTAAATATATATTTAAATGTACAGGGTGACTCACGTAAGCCTAGCATAGTTGAAAAGCTTTATTTTTAATGGAACATCCAGTAGGTTTATAAAAGCTCCTTAACAACCTGATCTCAACGAATTATATTATGTAGGGTATACTATGGCTATTACAGAGTGAAATTTTCAAAATTATGTTACGATAAAATATGACTCATGCCTAAACTGTAAACATATTATTCTAGCCAGTCTTTTCTAGTAGGTTCTCCTACCCGATAAAACCTGTCTGTCTTAGGAGGGCTTCAAGTGTGAAATAAATTAGTGTAATATTGTATACCATCTCAGTTTAGAACTAAGGCGAAGAATGATTAAGTGTTATGTTTGGTCTGTACTTTTGTATGCTGCAGAAGTGTGGATGCTAAAAGTATCGATCATGAACAAAATTGAAGCATTGGAAATGTGGGTTCATAGACGAATGCTGAAGATACCTTGGACAGCAAGAAAAACCAATGAAGAAGTACTAAGGAGCGTCAACAAAGACAGAGAACTGCTAAAGACTGTTAAACATCGAAAAATGTCTTATCTGGGACATATAGTAAGGGGAAGTCGATATAAAATTTTACAACCGATGCTTAAAGGCAAAATAGAGGGCCGTAAAGGTGTAGGAAGAAAACAAGTTTCTTGGTCAAAAAACATTCGTGAATGGACTCAGATACCAAATGCAGGACAATTATTCCATATTGCAGAAGATCGAGAAGCCTTCGCAATGGTGATGACATTTGCAATTACTCCTGTAATACAAACAGTCATGATGATAGTTTTTTACTGTATATTTATTTATTTGTTTACCTAGACTAAAAAGTGTAATTTCTGTTTTTTTTTGTAAAATTTCCAAATAAATATATTTATTTATTATTATTTGTAATAACCGAGACAATATGAGATAACTAACATTTATCCAAAATTCTTAAAAAATATGTCAAGCGCGCTTTGATGTAAAAAATATGCGCCGGCGCTGAATGGCTAAAATAGAAACGAGAGGAGCTAAACATAACGTATAAAAAAAAGTATTGGCTATTTGGAAGACAATTCACCCTGTTAGTCTACATAAAATGCTTTTGTATATAACTCGGCTCATAGGGCACAGAGCTACCTTCTCTGTCGCTCATATGAGTAATTCCTGTCTGGCGCGTCCATGCCGCGGGGGTGGGCATCTCTTGCTTCAGTAGGCCGGAGCTAGTAGATGGCTAAGTTCAGATAGGGACCCAGTTCCGTGGGATATAACACGGTCCCCTTGCCCAGGGATACGAGTGAAGAGCATAACGACGATGAAGGTGGAGAATATACTATTCGGTACAGTGAATTCAACGGAAGTGGCAACCCTGTGTCTAGGGGTAGTATAGAATCAACCTGGTGAAGGGCAGAAGCGATCACCAGTACTAGAATTAGGCGTAAAGGAAATGATCCTAAACCGGCTTCTTACTAGAATACCGTAGGTGAGACTGAAACAGTTAGAGGGCTACGGTACTGCGATACGGAAAGCAAGTAGGAAACTACCGTAATATATTCCTCAGGACATCCGTCCGTAGATTTTTTCTTATCATGTTGGAAGAAACAAAACAAACGGCCCCTAGTCCCGGGCAGGCCTAAAATGGCCAAGGGGTGCGAAGAATCTGCCGGTTTCAACTTGATAAGATAATCAAAATTGCTACGTGGAATGTCAGAAGCTTATTTGCAGCAGGCAAACTACAAAATCTAATTCAGGAAATGAACAGAATTAACATCGATATTCTGGGCATAAGCGAATTGTGATGGGAAGACACAGGCATGATCAATACTAGTGGTAAAACCTTTTACTACTCATGCAGTGATAGCACAGACCCTTACCACAGACATGGGGTGGGAGTTCTGATAAGCGAAAATTTGCGCGTCTCCGTGAAGAACTTTGTCCCGATCTCCGAAAGAGTCATACTTATTCAGTTGCATGAAAAAGTTAACATAAATATTATACAAGTCTACGCCCCTACAGCAGAAAAGCCAGAAGAAGAACTAGAGCGATTTTATCAACAGCTAGACGAAGCCTTAAAGGTGACTAAGAATCACGAAATTAACATCGTATTAGGAGACTTTAACGCAAAAATTGGGGAAGGAGCTGTAGATCACGTAGTTGGAAAATATGGTCTTGGTCAAAGAAACGACATAGCGGACAGATTGATACAGCACTGCCAAGACAAAGATCTAGTCATAACGAATACTTGGTATAAGTTACCACCCGGGAGGCTTTACACATGGAAGTCGCCTTATACGGACATCAGGGCATTATAAGGAACCAAATAGATTATGTGACAATTAATAAATAGAAGGTACAGGAATGCTATTACTAAAGTATCTGCATTACCTAGAGCAGACATAGGATCCGACCACAATCCCTTAGTAGCAAATATCAAACTGAGGCTCGCTACAGCTAAAGGAAAACATCAGAAGGCATCAGTAAACATTAGGAAACTCAAAAATAGTGAAACAAGTGAAGCGTACACAGAGGAAATAAACAATAGGTTCTCTAATATGGCAACTGAGGATGATGTTGAAAACTCATGAACCACCATAAAAGAATTATTTGATGAGGTGAACAACACTTTTCTACTCGAGAGTAAAACAACTATCAAGAATGAGTGGATGACAGAAAAAATATTAGAGATGATGGAACAACGAAAGCAGTGTAAGATTAGGTAGGACCAAGTAGGGTACCGAAATAATAAATAATAATAAAGGACCCTTGCGATATACTTAATACTTAGAAAATGTACACAGCCAATTTGTTTAATGATGACAGAACACAAAAACCACCACAACTGGGAGACCATTTGTATGGCCCAAGTATTTTGAAAGCTGAAATTGTACACGCTATAAAACTATTAAAAAGTAACAAAACCCCAGGACCAGATGATATGTACGCAAAAACAATCAAGTTACTTAATGAAGAAAACCTAGACATTATTTTCAAGCTCTTTAACGACATCTACGATACGGGCCAGATTCCAAAAGATTGGCTTCGATCTGCTTTTATCGCCCTACCAAAAACACCACGTGCGAACTTCTACAAGGACCACCGACTAATAAGCCTAATAAGTTACTTTTTAAACTTTTCCTAAGAATACTTCACACTAGATTGTTTCAGAAATGTGAAGAGGTCAGTGGATGGAGTCAGTTTGGTTTCAAAAATGGACTTAACACGAGAGAAGCGATCTTTAGTATGCAAACATTAATACAGAATTGTTTACATCAAAGAAATTATGTTTTTGTCTGTTTCATCGATTACGAGAAAGCATTCGATAATGTAAAACACGAATTGATGATAAAATACCTACAAGAGTTGGGATTGGATGCCAAGGATATAAGAATTATCGCAAATCTGTATTGAAACCAGACAGCAACAGTACATCTTCAAAATTTCAACTAAACAGAAGATTTCTCCATTAAAAAAGGAGTAAGGCAAGGTTGTATACTGTCTCCAATGCTGTTCAATTTATACGTAGAAAAAACCATCGCAGAAGCAGTGGCAGACTCTAATAAGGGTATTAAAGTTAACGGCATATTTATTAATAACATCAGGTATGCCGATGACGCAGCCATAGTGGCAGATAACATCGAATATCTTCAATGCCTTTTAAATGATCTAACTCTTGCAAGTGAAGCTCGGGGTTTGAAAATAAATATCAAGAAGACAAAAACAATGATTATAAGTAGAAATTATTACCCCAACGCAAATATATATGTCTCTGGAGAAGAAATTGAACAGGTCAGGCAATTCAAATACTTGGGTGTTTGCTGAACGAGGGTTGGGATCACGAGAATGAAATAAAGAGCAGAGTTGAACAAGCCAGAAATGCTTTTTTGAGGCTTCGCAAGTTTCGGACTGATCGCAAATTGGACTTTAACTTCCGATACAAGATGCTTAAGTGTTACGTGTGGCCTGTTCTCCTGTACGGAATGGAAGCATGGGCGTTAAAGGCCAATTCCATTATTAAACTTGAAGTGTTTGAAATGTGGTGTTTGCATCGAATGCTTAGAATATCATGGACGGACAGGGTCAGAAATGAGGAAGTACTCAGAAGAGCGGGCTTACGGGATAGGGAACTTTTTAGTTATGTAAAAAGTAAGAAGACTGCATACTTGGGGCACATATTACGAGGAGAAAGATACACTTTTTAGCAACTGATACTCGAAGGGAAGATAGAGGGTAGGAGAGGTCTGGGACGTAAAAAAATGTCATGGCTGCGCAATATTCGACAATGTAAAGATATCCACAGCTATGAAATGCTTCGCAATGCTGATAAAAACAGAATTATTTAAACCTGAATATTTAACATCTCACCTGACAAGACGATGTACGGTGGACGCCTACGCAGAAATGCACGGCACCTAAGAAGAAGAAGATATACAGATGCTAAAATCTATATGGGCATATGACATCCAACTGTGGGATTGTGCCAGTAAGAGTAATTTAGTCATCTCCAGCGATTATAAAATAAACTGCTAAGGAGAATTGACAACTATAGAAACTGTAACCTCCATAGGTATCTAGAAGTAAGTATTGTTAAGAAGACCATTGAAAAATTTTCCAAGAGTCGCGAAAATCAACTTCTTCAACACGGAAATGTTGAGGCCTTCCAACCCATTGACAACGCGTATTTGGTTAGAACACTCAAGAAGAGGAAGCTTGAGTTAGAAGCGAAAAGTAAAAAAGCAAAGTATACCTAGTGCAAATGATGGTATACTTTATTATTTGTGTAATAAATTAATACAATTTAAGGGTTAAAAAAGGACTAATATTATTACATGATTTTAATATATTCCAAAAGCTATAAAATAGAACATAAAAACCAACAAAATTTTGTATTTTCAACTTACCAAATCCAAATCTTTTAATTTCTGAAAATCTTCAGAACGTTTCGGACTCATACTTTGCTCTTCAGACAAAGACAAATCCGAGTCATCGAGTTTATAAGCACTTTTAGAATCATCTTGTTCTTTTACCTTATTGCCATCAGAAGGAAACACTTCGTCATCGTCATCATCCTTAAATTAGTTTATAATATGAGAAAAAGATAGAAAATGTCACGGTGAATACTTACATCAATTATTGAAAATGACCTCTGCATATTGTTGTTTATTTTCTTTATTTACTTAATTTTTCTTTCAGTTGAAAAGTTTTTGTTTGTATTAATAGGTTGCTTAGCGACTATTGACTAATTTGTAAATCTACGATATAGTCAGAGTGCTGGTTCCGAAAAAAATTAAAATAAACTAAAGTACAATGCTGATGGCATCGTGAATTTATAAAAATTAAATATAGCTAGAATAATCTTAATAAAAACATTGCAAAAAACAAAAACGCTAGAATAAAAAATCTGGAACTGAAAATTTTAAAAGATTGTATTTTAAACGCAAATACATCATTAAAATAACTATTTTAAGCATTATTTTAAAAAGTATTTAAAGGAACATTATATGCTTTGAAAGGTAAATTAGTATTCAAACAGATTAGGAGATACCGGGGTTAGATGTTACAATTTTTACATTTTACTTTTTCGTGCATTCAATATGTAAAATAGGTAATAATATATAGATTTGTTTAGTCTTGCAAATTCTATCAAATTACCCCGCAATTGGGTAAGTTGTTACATGGCAGGGGCAAATTGTTATACTAGTAACTTTCATACTTTTCAAAGAATATTGAAAAAACTTTAAATGAACTTTATTTATTTATTTTTTATTAAAACACAAACTATTGTGCGAGATTTTTAAAAATTATTTAAATCAGTTATTAGACTAATAAGACTAGCAATGTATGCATACAAAAATTGCACTCATATCCGTTTTGATTTTGAGTTAGCTTACGGCTCACAACATGCAAAAACATTATTTATTTTCTTTATCGCTTTCTTTTAAAACAATTGTCCATTTAACTTTTTGTTTTCCATTTTTATTAGATTTTAAGTTTCTCAGTTGCTCTTGCTGTAATAATGCTTTCTTTTCAGGCGTGTCCGCTTTACAGGACTCATTAGTCCAATATCTTTGGACTAATGAGCCTTCGATAAGGTCAGACATAACCGTCTTATCGAATTACTTGAAAAGAAAAACTTAGATATGAGAGACATCAGGATTATTAGCGCTATCTATTATAATCAGATCTCTGTCGTAAAAGAGAACAACGTCTTTTCAAATGAAATACAGATTGAGAGGGGCGTCAAGCAGAGCTGTGTCCTGTCTCCTACTTTGTTTAATTTGTACTCAAAGAAAATAATCCAGGAAGTACTAGAAGAACTAACTATGGGAATAAAAGTCAATGGCCGACCAATCAATAATATACGGCGACACTATTTTATTAGCGGAATGTCTTGAGGATTTACAACAAATAGTTGACAGAGTGGTAGAAGTGAAGAAAACGGAAAAAGGAAAAGCATAACAATAGATGGAGAACAAATTAAAAAAGTTGAAAAATATAAATATCTGGGTACAATGATTAATGAAAATAATGAGTACACTGAAGAGATTAAGGCAAGAATAAGACAGGCAAGAAATTCTTACAACAAACTAAAAAAATTACTCTGCAGCAGGGATATTTCAATTTCTTTAAAGATAAGACTTCTGAGATGCTACGTGTTTTCCATATTATTTTATGGGTTGGAGGCTTGGACTTTAAAGAAAGATGTTTCGGACAGATTGGAAGCCTTCGAATTATGGGCCTGCAGAAGGATATTAAGAATAAGTTGGGTAGATAGAGTCACGAATATCGAGGTGTTGAGAAGAATGGGTAAAGATAAAGAAGTCTTAAATACAGTTAAAGTCAGAAAACTGCAATACCTGGGACATGTTAGGAGGGGCGAGCGTTTAACTTGTGGCAATTAATAATTCAAGGAAGAATACAGGGTAGAAGGAGTCGCGGAAGAAGACGCATCTCCTGGTTGAATAATTTGAGAGTTTGGTTTAACTGCACTTCTGCTGACCTATCTAGACCAGCGGCGTCGAAAGTGCGAATTGCCATGATAGTTGCCAACCTTTTTAGAGGAGATGGCACGTGAAGAAGAAGAAGAATAAAAACACAAAAATGGTCGGTTTACGTCAGACCCTTAAACCACACTAACCAAAGTTCGTTAAGATATAGTGAGTAGTGAGGAAAAAGCTTATTTCTAAAGTGTCTTAATAGTGTAGTCGGGTTAGACGAAAAAAACCCAACCTTGCATGCAGAGCTACCCTAAATTTCATTATTCTAACATTGAGGGGGTCAATATTAGTGTAATATACTGAGTATGTAGTGAAAATGAAAAGAATTATATTTTATAGAATTTTGATCTCATTCATTTTTTTTTGCAGAAACTAACAGCGCTAAATTAAGATACTAAAGGGGATTAGTTTAAAAATGATAGTATTTAATATCTCGGCAATTTTCCACTTTTCAACAAAATGGTAACGAATTAAATTATTGCAATTGTGATTTCCCACAATTTCGCTCATACACTTACACATTACATACACTTACTACTTACACCAATCAGAACACAAAACCAGACATACCCCGCACAAAATTCAAAACACAAAACAATTACTCCCAATCTCAAGCAAAACCTACAGAATTGGACGATGACAACCAATTCACCACCTCATAAACATCGCAAGTCTCACTAAACATAGACGAACATGAACCACTTTCGGAACATGAATGATCGCAGGTCTTCAGATGGCAGGTACCAATATTCTGAGATGCCCCGCAAACACGTCATACCAATCATGCAAGACATACAAGCCAAACACAACAAAACACAAACAAAAATACCTTCACCAAACCAATACATCTCAACAATAGAAAGTATAATAGAAAGACCAATACAGCAATAAAAACAAGCACAATATACAGTAATCCCACAAAAACTATCCAGTCCAAATAAATTCTCCAGACTCCTAAAAAACACAACTTTCTAGGAGACATCCCTTATACCATAGAAGTCGAACTTACCCAACAACAAGCCAGACTACACACAACGGGTCCTATTCTCAGCATAATAGAATGGGAAGAGGACCTAAGATCCAATACATAGACACAAATTAAATACCAACACAGACACACGCCCACCCTCTATACACAGAACATCCATACCTTCCCCCAACTACATCCCTAATCACTCCGATAAACTCACCAATACATACGCAAACAACACCACAACAAACTCCTCCCCCACAATACAACACTACACCTACACAAACATCCACACACGACATCCTTAATTACAGAATTGAGGACATTTCCCAAAGCATTTGTCAGCAGAGACCACTCTATCGTCTCATCAAAGACAACAAACTATTTCCAAATTTAGACTCTCTTAAAGTCTTCCCTTAAAGAAAGAGTGGTTGAAGAATCTGAGAGAGTGGTTTGGTTGCAGCTCAAGGCAACTGTTCAGAGCAGTTGCCTCGAAGGTCAGAATAGCCATGATGATTGCCAACCTTCGTCGCGGATATGGCACTTAAAGAAGAAGAAAGTCTTCCTAGTCTTTCCAAAAAGGCGGCTTCTTTACAACTACCCAATATTTAGACCCCGTAAATCCCACGGAAAAACTACGAGAAATAATTGGAGATTTTGCTATCATTATCAACCTCGGGCGTAGAACCAAACCTCAAGGCCCAACAAATCCACAACCCACTCTAAACAATAATCAACTACAAACTTGCCTGTCATTGCCGAAGTCAACAAAAATCTATCCAATAAAGACATCGAGGATATTTTATCCGAAAACAGCTTCCCATTCACCAAAATAATTCGTATAATTACCCACTCTATCAACCGCCCCACATCTTTCGTTAGAATTTTCACAAAGACTGAACCTATATTCGCAAATGCCCTCTCGAATGGTATCAGGATTGATGAAGAACGATTGAGTTGTGAAGTCCTCAGATCAAGTAATTCTGTTCCGATCAATCTAAAGTACTGTTCTAGATGCTGCAAAGGCAGACATCTCAGCAATGAATGCCCTCATATCCCTACTGGCGACAACAACACAGGTCTACTGCATGCCAAACGACAAATGCTACAAAATGTCCCAATGCGGCATTTTCACCAAGATGCCCACACAGACAAGCCACCCCAAGAACACAACCCGTACAGACTCTTAACAATTTCCAGCCCACGATCTATCCCGTATATGAAATCCCTCATTCACTTCACATCCATGATCCTCTTCAATATCTTCCCTGAAAAGCGGAGTGACACAGTCCGATACCTAAATATCCAACTTATTATATATGTATACCATATCAACCTCCTGTCATTGATTATAAACCACCACCTGGGTGGTTGGTTTATAATCAATGCTCCTGCTATAACAATACCATTAACCAAACCTTCACACATAAATACACTATACATCAACACGAACATAATCCATACAGATACGTACTTTACCTACCACACACGCTCACACAAACGAAACAACTCAAACCCAGCAAAATACAATACTACCAAACATATAAACAACTAATAACCATACAGAAGACTGAAACACTAAACACATAAAAAATTGAGCACACCCGTAAACTCCTTATGAGTGGCATTAATTCCACAAGGACAGGGGGAGAGTTTGATTTTCTCTGGTTTCCCAATCTTATTGCACAACGATACCTGATCCAACGATACTGATTCTGGCGTTTGCTTACTCCAATAAAAAAAACGAAAAGCTTAAACGAGGTTCATAACGTTAGTGTCTCTCACCCAGCTGTTTGATATTCTCTAGAAGTACTTGAGAGAATTTTAGGTGTCGGCTGGACACTTTTCATTCTTCTTTGTCTACTTGAATCTCAAGATTATACTTGGCGATGTTATCGTTATATTTAATACGCAGGTTGGTGTTAGGTATAGCCACCATAAGCGCTGTTTCTCTAATTAGTTTATTAATTAGAATAATCCGTCCTACTATATGCCACTGATTAGCCTGTTAACACAGCCCAGCTCAACTATAACTTTTACTTAACATTTTTAAGCATACTATAGGTAACCTATTTAACATAAGGTAATTGGTTACTTAGCAGAAGTGGCTGTTTGGTGGCAAGCTCTGTATGGAGAGTTTTTATTTGTTGTTTTGTCAAGTGAAAAATTATTATCATATATTCTCGCAAATAGGAATTTGGTAATGAAAACTAAGAAAAAAATAAGTACTTTATTAAAAAAGTTATTAAAAATAATTACAAAGAACAATAAGTTCAAGGTTCAATATAAGTATCATCAATTTGCGTCATATTTTCTTAAATTAAATATTATAAATTATTAAAATATTTATGCTGCAAAAGATGATATAGTTTTACAAGTACTCGCCAAACTATCCGACTAAATTTTGTAAAATTTACTAAAATATATTTCTAAAATCTCTTACGCTATTAGGCTATTATACAGATACATCAGAGCACCTAAAAGAACTAATAATTTTATTTCAATTAGACAAAATATACATTTGGTTTAAATTATTCAGAAATGTTTGGGTGTTATAAAAGAAGAATACCTTATATGATAAGTATCTTCTAAACTTTAGAATATACTACGCTTAAAAGGAATACTATTAGGGCATTAGCCACAACAAAGTATATGAACGATAAAACGAAGAAAGAAGTAGACATACAATTGCTCCCCAAGCTGCCTTGCTATAAGAAATGCCAGGTACATTTAAAGGCATAGGAAAGGAACTTCCTAATTTAAAGACACACAACAGACCTATTTAACTTTAGGAAACATCTAAAACGATTAAAATCTTTGAAAAATGTATTAAGAAAAATGTACAATAAAGTCAAGTATATTAGATAAAACGAATAAAATTAAATTTTATAGATTTTGGCTCGTTAAGAAAACAAAAAGAAAGAAAAATTTGTATTCAATGTTGAGAATAGATTTACCCAATAAATAAAATTTATAATTTCAATACATTGCAACCAAATTTTTTTTAGGACATTTTGAAGGTTGAATGATGTTTAAAAATTAAGTAAAATTTTACAACAATAAAATAGTAAGACAGACACAGTACGATATAGTATCAAACAGGGCACAACACTTATTTTATATTATTTAAATCTCTTTTTTAATTTAAACTATCAATTCTTAATTGCAGTCCAGTTTTCTAAAATTACATTTTCAATCTGCCATCCATACGAAAATAAACGAATATTTTGCGATATCATAATATTCATCCATCATTTAGTATTAAACTCAATTTAATTTCAATTCGTTTCTAAGAATCTTTCCACTAGGATTTCTAGGGATAATGTCGACAAATTTCACACCTCCTACTAATTTCTTGTAATGAGATACTTTGCCGTTCACCCATCTTTGAATATCTTCTTCGTTGATGTTGGCATTGGCAAGTCGCACGACATATGCCCTAGGAACCTCTCCTGCTAGAGTATCTGGAACTCCCACAACGGCTGCATCAGCAATTCCTTCGATTTCCATTATGAGATTTTCTAGCTCTGTCGGCGATACCTATAACAAATGTTTTAAAACTTAATATTGATAATTAAAGTAAAATTGTTGATGTAAAATGGAGATGAGTACATCATTATAGTTTATTCATAATATATTTCCTTAAAGTAGAAGGATTTTCCCATATTGTAAAATCTGCTTTATTATATTGTAATAAGTTTTCTATAACTGATTAAATTTTTAAAAATGTTTTTTTAAACTAAAATTTTAGTTATAATAAATTACACAGTCATATCCTGCTATTCCAATTTTATTATTTTTATTCCAATTATAGGCAACACGTATTACATTATTAATAGCTTGGCAACGTCGCACTACAATCAGTAAAATTTTACAGTAACCTGTTAAATTGAAGTATGACAACTGACAAATTAAATTCCTCATTGACGTTACCCAGGTGCATCTTTTGTTGTTACTCGATAAGTTTGATATTAAAAATAAATATATTGCACAGTGTTCCACAATGGAAAACCCGGAAGAAATTCTTCATAGTCTAGAAGAATTTTCAAAAATGAAACCAAAAGACATTCCACGTGAATTAGAAGAGTACTTGTGTTTTGTCGCCAAAACAGGCAATCCTATCTACCAATGGCCTATAATAAAATCTCTTTTCCGAGAAAAGCTGATCAATGTTATTACGGACTTCTACGAATCTTGCCCGTCTGTAGATATTCCACCTTGTCCCAACGTAGAAATGTTCAATTATGATATGATGAAGAATTTTATACTAGAGAAACTCGACACATTCGCTTCGGCCCCTTTCACGGTCCAAAGGATATGTGAACTTCTCACGACGCCTAGAAAAGAATACAGCAGAATAGACAAATACATGAGGGCGTTGGAAAAGAATATTCTGGTTGTAAGCACAGTAGAGCCTGGCCGAAGATCTGCTGAAAATGGGGAAGAAGGTATTATGAATGGTATAGAGTCAGAACATTTACCAGAAAGTAGCAATTCTAGTCACGACATTAACATTGAAGACATGGATGAAAGTCCTTCTAATTGGAACAGACATGATCAAGATGTACCTGTTTCATACAAAAATGGGGAGAGTGAAGACTTATCAAAAAGTGAAATGGAACCAGCGACAGAGTCAGCAACTAGTTTTGAAACGGAAGAAACTAAAACAGGTAATAAGCTTAATCAATCATAATTTTTGTATAATAATGAATCAGTAAAATAAGTTCTTTACATGTATTCTCCCATTATTATGTATTTTGTTAGTCAATAATTAAAATCAGTACAATATGGAAATCGGCATTTACTGTGTAAAAGTTATATCAAGTGTATACAACTTAGATTTCTTTGTTATGGTACTATCGATTTGCTTAAACTAAATTATCAAATTCAAACTACAATAGGTATGTTTTATACATATAACATCTCCAATGTTTGTTATTAATTTCATCAATGCATCCATATATGGTTTTAAATAGTGTTATGCACTTCACACTCAATTACACAAAAAAACTAAAATTCAATAAATATAAAATACTATAAATATACAAAGGATATAATAATCACTTATAAAATGAGAAAAATTGGTTTGTCAATAATTTTAATTTAAGACTAATAGAGGATACAATATTAATAGCAACAAATATTCAAAATAAAGATAGTTAACATAAATATGGCACTATTCTGAATTTTGTACTTTATCAATTATTATTGAAAATCATACAATACTGCGTTATAGTTTACAAGCCTATGGTACATTTTTAAGGCATCATTTGACCCAACATGAATCATATATAAATCAATACTACAATATGTAAGAATGACATTAGATATTGTTCTGAAGCTAATTTCTTCTGGCATTTTAAAGTTATTACTATTTTAAATGGGAAATGAGCCACAATTAAAGGTTAAAGTAATTTTATTGACATTTCACTTTCCACTTCGGAAATCGTTCTCAAAATACAATCGATTTGCAAAGTGGAAATTGAAATGTCAATAAAATTACTTTAACCTTTAATTGTGGCTTATTTTCCATTTAAATAGTAATAACAACTTTAGAAACTCTGCCATCAATTCCTATCAGTATGCAAAGCAATCTATATATGGATTTGAAACTACTGAGTATGAATACCATACTGTCTCAAATTGCCAAAAATGGGGAAAAGTTAAAAATAAAAAATTTTCCCTGCGCCTGGTACAATTTTTTTTGTGTAGCATTACGTTGTAGGTCATAAAGTTGTTATTACATATTGTATATGTGATTCATGCTGGCTCAAATGGCTCCTTAAAAACCATCAATGAGCTTCTAGTCTAGAATTAATTTAGTTTTCAACTTAGTGATGCTAAATGGAATTCTACCAAGTATTAATTATGGAAATAAAGTAATAGAAAAACAAGAACTAATTAAAAAAAGATGTTCTATATAATGCCCATCCATGATGTATTCTCTCTTCTCTAAAAATATATTATTTATTCTATTTCATCAAAATTTTGTACCTTACAAGAATAATTGCCAATTATTTTTCATACATAGCCAATTTCAATGGTCAACACTGCTTGAAGGGACTTATTTATCTATTATTAAATTTGTTTAAATATAAATACCTAAAATTTTCCTAAATGTCTAATTTTATTACTAAATAACAAATATATTCAAGTTCAAAACATTTTTTTTTTTATTTCTGAAAAATCATTAATCAATATTTGTATTTGAACTGTATGTTTGTTTAATTTCTTTTCACAAACAGAATCTAATCTTCAAAATTTTCCTATGAACATATATTGTGGGTGTACTGTGAAAAGTCACTAAGTTTTAAAAATTTAACTTCTCTGTCTAGTAAGTACCAATAATCAATAATATAGCAAAGGATGCAACTAAACAAAATTACAAGCAAAGTCTACCCAGCAAAAAACATTGTAAAAAGAAAAAGAGGCAGACGAAGAAAAAAATGGGTATAGCAAGTAGTAGAGGCAGGAAAGTTTAAGCAAACATCACTTGAGGAATTGAAAATAATGGCAGGAAACAGAAAAGAATCGAAGAGATGGCTGAATGAAAATTAAGAACAGGGATAAAGAAAGAAAAAAAGAACTTCTCTGTCCATATCCAAGAACCACATATAATTCAAAAATCATAAAAATGTCCTGAAATATAGATGTTATTTTAAAATTAAAATAGCGTTGGACATAGTAGACTTCTGGTATGTGTTACCATTAATACAATGAAGCTGAATTGTTAAAAACTTGATTTGGTCATTTTTGGAAGTATACCCACAATATATTCCCAAAATTTCAAACTGATTGTTTGAAATTGTGTTCAAAGTCAGATATGAAAATAAAAACACAAGGAATAATACAAATATTTATATTTGTGTAATTTGTTAATTCTAGCTTAGATGAGTCTCTAGTTTTTTTGTTCATTCAAGGCTAATTTTTAGGTCGTTTTTTATAAATTACCCTATAATGTATATTTATATTTTTTTCATATTTTTCTCATTTTCATTATTATTTATTTCTTATGTTAATCTGAAAGAATGCTGATTTTAAACATATTGTTCTGTAAGTGAGTGTTTGTTTAATCCCCTATTTTGTATATTGAAGATGAATCATTTCTAACAAAAAATTATCTTTCCTACAAGTAAAACTGTGTGGATTCCACCACTAATCCACATAATTATGTAAATCTTAATTTATTTATTAATTATGAAAAATTCTCTTTTCAGAAGTACCTTCAAGCAGTACTGCTGAAGAACCAAAAGCACAAACCCCGGAGACTGTAATAACTTGCACAAGTACAGAAGAGACAATTGAAACATTTGTTTCTATAGAACCTCAAGAAGGTGCCTATCAGAACCTTTCAGAAGATAGCAATACAGACAGTAACAGTAGTGATTCTTCAAGTTCAGCATCTGTACCAGAAGCTAAAGAAACGACACCTATAGAAGAAAAGCAACCAGCTGAAGAAGCCTTAGAGGTCGCAGTAGATACCACCGATGTGGTAAGTTATTTTAATTCTACTTCTCTATTTAATTCCATTCTCCATTAATATATCACTGCATCAAATGACCACTTTTCTCCTAAATTACGATCAATTTGTTGTCCTAAAACTTGACATATTTTAATCCAATTGGGGTTTGTTTATAATGTTAAACAAGGATTTCAACTTAGGACTGTTAGTTTCAAAATAAGATCAATTAGATTAGGCTTAGATGACAACCTTGTTTATGTTATATTTTTTTGCTTGCACTTGAGTTTTTATTAATTATTGTAACATTTATAATTTTTAATTCAATTAAACCAATGATTATGTATGTGTTTCAGCCTAAGCAAACTGAAACAGAAGTACAAAAACCAGAATCAATTACTGAAGCTGAATTAGAACCCAAGGAACCATTGATAGAAGAAACACAGTTTGAAATTTCACAGGTAGAATCTACAAGAGAATTGCCAACAGAAACACCAATTGAAGACATATCAACAGAAGAAGTAACCCCTGGTCCAAGTGAACCAGAAGTGCTAGAATCACTACCAGAAATCTCAGAACCTCAGGTTGCTGTGGAGACAGAAGATAAAGAAGCAGAAGTGGTGGTTGAGAAATCGTTAGATGCTCCAGAAGATACGCTTCCTGCTGCACCAGAAGTAGATGTCCCTGTACCTGAAGAATTGGAAAACATTGTAGATAGTTCAACTGATGATAAGAAAGAGGAAGAAAATATCTCTGAAAAATTACCACAAGAAGAAGTCATCAGTGAATCTGAAAAGATAGAAACAACAAATGATGCAGATGCTGTCACCAATGATCTATCTGACAACAAAGAGTTATCTGAAGAGTCTCCTATGGAAGTAGATGTCAGCCAGGATAAGAAGTCAGAAACTGAAGAGCCTAGTTCATCTGTAGAACCATTTCTAGCATAAATTTCTTTTTGTATGTATAATAAGTCCACACAAGGCATTCATGTTTTTGTCTTAACTCTTTTACATTAACATTTTATTGTATATCATCATTTGGAAAAATTGCGTTTTTATTATACTTTAACCCTCTTATTAATAAACACGGACTAACCTTGGACTAACATTAGTCCCAGGACTACACCAATAACATTCATTTTTCGTATTAATAAACAGCGACTAAGGACAGACCAAGCTAAACCTTGGCTAGTCTCGGACTAACATTTAATCCGAGGTAGTGGCGGGTTTAGAGAGTGACTAACTTGACAATTGAAATTGAGTTGAGTTTTGTTTTGGTATTCATAACCTGAATTGTTTTTGATTATTCATACATTATTTAATATTGGAAGATTATTTTATCAACGACTTAAGATTAATAGAACAACTTAATGACCATAGAAATCAGTGAAATAATATTCATCTATACCTTTTCATTAAGCGATGCAGGGCATATAAACAACGATAAATTTAACAGATAATTGTTAAAGATGTTCCAAATGAGTCTACCCGTTCCGATAAGTAACAGTATAATTATGACACTTTATTATTTTTTTTCTTTTCTCAAATATTCGTGTTTATTGCATAGTAAATAAATTAATGTTATCACTGAATACATAGTAAGTGAAAAAATAATCCGATTTATAAAATTAATGAATATTTTATGCATAAATGCAAGTAACAGTTCTTCAAAAATATTTAAAAACTAACCGAAATGTCCATCTTTATTTCGTCTGCCGATGTTTTCAGCAGCTCATACCGGTTCGGACACGATTTAATGTTTACATCTTCCTGCATCGCTTAATGAATTTTAAAATATATAAAATTTGTTTAATAAAATATTTTACAATTCATTATGTTTATTAGTATTTTCTATATTTTCCCTTTGTAATAAAATACTTTTTAAAGTTTCCTCTTGAACTTTTATAAAGTTTAAACTTTTCAGATAAAAAAAATATTATAAAATATAAACAAACTTTCTTAAAACACAGTCCAACTAAAATTAACTCTGCGTGCTCCAACTTATGCTAACTGTCAAATTCTCAAATATTTTTCTTCTTTTTCACAAAATTCTCTCCATTATTCTTCTTTTTCGCAATGGTTGCCAACATAAACTTGTTGTACCTAGGACTAAGGAAGGTTTAGTTAGTCTGAGCTTAGTCCATGTTTATTAATAACATTCTGAAAATGAAGTTAGTACTCGCTTAATCTGGGACTAACTAGTCCGAGACTAACTTCGGACTAAGCAATTTTTATTAATAAGACTGTAAGATATAAGTGGTGAATTTTTCAAATAAATTTTTATTTCTTATACTGAATATTTACAAATTTTTAGTTGTATTTTTTTTTAAATAATCCATCATATAAGAGGTTTATGGAATATTTTTTTCCTGCTAATAAAAAACTTACTTCACTAGACATTCTCTCATTAACAATAATCTAATAATCCAATCACAAAATATTTTTTACTACATATTTATATGTTTAAAAAAAATTTCCATTTTTTAATATCTTAACAGTACTAGAATAGATTTTTTTCTATGTCATCTTAGAAATACTGGGTAAGCGCAAAATGCAAAACTTGGTATGTGATACTTTTTTCAGTTTAGATAAAGTCACAGCAGTCTTTCTTTTAAGTTTAATGAAATTTCTCAGTTTGTCACTATATACATATGTCTTACTTCAAAACTATTTGTTTCTTTCATTATAGTACTGCTAGTCCTCCTCCTGTTATGTACTATCTTGGTTGTGTTTGGTGACCACAGTCACAAATTCGTCTCTGTTATTATATAATATAATATGAGATTGTTTCCATTGGTGTTTATCCCTTTTATTTCTTATTCATATCTTTTTCATATAACCAAGCTTTGTTTCCCATCTATATGTCCTTCAAGTATTAATTGTATCTGTTTATAATATACATTTGACATAAGGTGCCTGAGATAGGTTGTTTTAGTTGTGTTTACTGGTAACTATATGTCCATTTTTCTTGGGACTGCTATATTGGTTTTTCTACCAGTCCAGCGGATTCTCCAAATTTGTTATAATGGTCATTCATAGAAGGGAAGCTACCACGTGACATTTTAGTGTTCCAAGTCTTAGGTGGATATCTAATTTAGAGTGACAGTAGTTTGGTATCTCAATGCGTCTTTAATTTCTGTTGAATGGTCTAATTGGGAGTTTAGATTCTCTTTCTAGATATATGTAACTATACACATATTGAATGCTATTATGATCTATATTCAGTCACCCAGTGTTTTGTGCTAGACAAGGCAACTATTTCGGCTTTTGCATGTTTTATCTATAGTTCCATTGTTGCACTAGCTTTTGACAATAGATTTATTTCTATCTTCAGATGCTCTTCGGTTTCTGCCGTACTACAGTATCATCCGCATATCGTTTATTGTTAATGACGATTAAATTGATCTTTGCTCCCTCTGATCCATCTTTTAGAGACGAATTTACGATATATTTCGCATAAACGCTGAAAAGCGGTGGGAAAAAAGGTACCCTACCTTTCTTTATATAACATAGTTGGTCTTTCCATCCTCGGTGTGTACGCACACCCTGCGATTTCCGCATATATGTTGTGGATAATCTGTATATCACATCCAACAATGTCTTACAAAATTTTTGTTTTTATCAATTATTCTTACTATCCTACAACGCTTGTTAGTTGTGCACTGTAAATAAATTATTAGAATGTTTAATTTAATATTATGGTTTTTAATCTTACAAATAGTTTTTGAAAAATTTGGATGAGTTTTCACATTATTATGCACGGAAGCCAAGATAGTGTATTTTATATTGGTAACGCTGCGTAACTTTTTCTTGTCAGAGTCACTCTCTGTTGTCGTTTACTCATTGTCATTACTGATGATCGTAATTTCCTCCAATACTTCTAACAAATGTTTTCCATTGACCTCTGTATTTAGCTGCTTTAAGAGTTTGGCAGTTTGAATGGCCCACTGAATTCTACATTTGGTCGGATCAATCCAGTTGTTAACCGTCCTTTTGATCTCCCCGGAACATGCTTATCAAGCATGTTTTACTAATGTCAAAAAATCGTTGACGAATAAAGTCAATAGATTTACGACCACCTGGCAGGTATGTCCTACTAAAATGACCTGTCCTTTTAAAAATAAGTTTTGTAGGTCTAAGTATTCAATCCAAACCTCCTCAAATGGTTTTTTTGATATTCAGAATTCAATGTTGAGAGTCCCTGGTTGAATTTTAGACCCGATAAAATTATCTGGCTCATATTAATATTTATGTATTTTTATATTTTCGATTTTATTAAATACTAAACTAAAACATACTACAATTTTAAAGTATAGACATTGTTATTATCCTCTAGTCTAGCTATCGAAGTTTAAACTGGGATAGAGTGACGAATTGGATATTTTTCATCGTGAGCAAGTCTACTTATTTATGATACGTATATACATGTAATATATGACTAATTTAACTTTTCCAATTTTTTATATAACGTCCCTATAATCACCATTACGGGGACATAATTTTATTGCTGGCTACAGTAACTCAAATACTGAACTTATCCAGAAAAAAAACGCTTACTGCCAGTTGAAAAATTCGTATCTGATTACATACTGAAGTTAGCATAGATGAAATGTAAGTGGGTGGATTATTATTCATATTTCACTCATAGATACGTTACATACTTCGGTTTCTTTGTTTGATTATGTAAATGCACCGAAATCTTGATGATCTTATAAATGAGTCAGTCGATAGGTGTAAGCCTCTATTTCGATACAATTTTTGTAAACATATAGGTAATGTTTTTTTAACAGATTTGGGAGATAAGCCAAAAAGATGGATGCTTGTACATAAACTTTTATTAAAATAAGGTGTAATTCAGTCTTTCGTTCAGTTGTGTAGTTTCATTGTAAATTACAGTACCAAATGGCTTGTGTAGTCTCGTATATACATATATTTGTCTCTAGATTTTTATACTGTATAAGGAAAGATAAAACTTCATTTTTTCAATATTTTTTATAGCCTTCACAAATAGAAGCATATTTTACTGTAAGTTTCTCTATATTTAGCAGTATTCAATAATTTTTGAAGTTCCTCATTCGCCCAGTCTTTAAATTTCAATATTGTCTTCCTTCCCTTTTCATCTGGTATTATCTTCTGCTGTATGCCAATTAATTTGCAAACATGTCTGCACTGTTACCCATCTTTATAAAAGTGTTTAGGAAACTCAGAAAGAGAAGTCATTAATGTAGGTCTATCATAGAATGTTTGTGAACCATATACACCTCAGGTACCCTGGCGTCATAGTTTTTACAATCTTTAATGACAATTATAATATACATGAAAAATAAAAATCTTTCAGATACGACAAAAAATTGTCAAGACTGTATTTTAATCGAATCTGAAAATTGAAAGGTTAGAACTGGTCTACTAGATCTTTGCACAAACGTGTTTATAGGAATTAAATCAAAACATTTAAGTCGATGTAAGAATTATTTTTCTTTCTTCTAGTTCCATGAGCATTATCGATCGTTGGGTATCATGTTGGTTACTAGAGTGGTCATCATGTTTTTATTGACTGCATGTTTATAATCGGTGATCTTCTTCTGCCAAGTCTTCTTTTGCCTTGAATCTTTCCCAATATGATGAGGTGCAAAAGTTCATATTTTTCAGGATGCCCATAATGTGCCCGAAGTATTCCAGCTTTCGTTTAATATACTGACCGATTATGTTGTTTAGTTTAGCCGTCTAAAAACTTCATTTCTGATCCTGCCCACCTAGCGTATCTTTCGTAGTCCTCTGTATTACACATATCAAAAACTTCTTCTAAGTGTTTAAATATGACCTCACTTAGAGTTTACATTTCTGCTCCATAAGAAAAGATATAAGAATATGTTATTTTAACTCGAAGCTCAATACTAAAATCGTGACTGCAAATGTCGTTTCTCCCTTTCCCTATTCTAATCGGCTTT